GCTTTGCAACCTTGTTGTATATTCGTTGAACCAATTCGAATACCTCGCCATGGAGATCTGGGCGTTTGCCAATGTGTACACTGCATCTCCGAGGGTCAGTACCGTCCAGTCGTCGTCGAGCACAGTGACTGAGCTACCTCGAATATGCACGTGGGCCACGGAGAACGACGCGTCAACCTCGACAGCGGCTCGTACAACTTCACTTCAGGACACGCTAGCATCTACCCATCGATTCTGGAACGCGACCATCGATCACAATTCATCGAACATCAGCACCATCACCAGTATCACGACAATGACATCTGCTGATAACGTGGAGCCGTCTTGGACATACCATAGACCCACAATGCACACGACCGCGGCGATCCCCGTCAGCGCAGCCACTTCACATGGCGCCAGCTGTAGTCACTTTTCAGCCTTGTTCGTTTTTTTCCTCGCTGTATCTTTTTGGGACCGTCTTGGATAGACCAACCTTGCTCTTCCTGGCAATGTTGCATGCATGGTGCGCTAGATGGCCACTCAGATCAGCTTCTCTTAGCTCGATGCTATCAATAACACTACGAATACCTTGACTGAGTAACGTTGTTTCCATTTATTGAGATTCAGAAGCTTGAAGTGCTCTTCTCTCCAGAGCTCTGTCCGAACGGAGGGAACTAGGGCTCACCGGCTGGCCCGGCGAGAACACAGGATATTTCACCATCCCGGCTCAGATAAACGGATGAATCAGTCAGAAGGCACGTGATAAAAGTAATATATCGAGCAGCAATTGAAATCATCAGCTTATACGCATGTCTCTGACTGAATTGTATGGTCGATGATTATGTTATCCTATTAAAAACTGGGATCGACATTTTGAATAGAAAATTATCTCTCCTCGTGACCGATCTACTCCCGAATGGTCCAAGACTATCGTAAACGATAGTCCATGTATCTTTGAGATTTCTTATATTGGCCTGTGTTGTACTGCGCGGCGTCAGACTGGGTAAAATGTAAGGTCTTCGATAGAACTAACCTCGTCATCTTCTATCTAGGCTTTGGAAGGGGCGGTGGCTTCAGAATGCCCGTGGTATCATATGCTCCGCGTCCTTGGTTTTTATTGCTGTCAGAGCTGTCGGAGATAGACATATTGCTGCTGAAATGCTGCTTCGTTTCGCATTAGGTGTTGATGATTGTTCGCTGAGGCCTTGCGTCGATCAATTCGCGGCCTTTATATGTGCTGGCCTTTACCCCTTTACCCCTATTCGGTGCCAGCATCGAATCCGTCAACGACCCTCTTGCGAAACCACCAGACCCGTTGTGGCAAGAGGCCGTCAATTTGGTATCAAGTGCCCCATTCACACATCCGGTCAACCTATTGGTAAATGGCCTTTACCCCTGAGTGTTATCGTTCAGCTAGCCACGTTTCTGAACATGCAGCAATGCCGGCAACAGGTTGGGATTGGAAGACACCGAGGATGAAAGCGAGCCCGCAACGCCGCTTGGTGGGCGAACGAGACCCGCCAAAGCCGAGCGACTTCGTAGCCTGCATTTTGTTTCTCGTCGCCGGTATCGTGTATTGGATTCTTGTTTCACGTCGGTCTTTCATCCCCGATAAAAGAAAGCAGGACATCAAGCCTGTGACACCCTTATCCAAGCAAGGCATTGATGCCAGCTCTTGCTAAGGAGACATGCCAACCGTTGGATGCATCGAATTTCCCTTTTCCCTTCGGTAGGGCGATGTGTTTGTCTTAGCGGCACAGGGTCGAGTTCTCCGACGACTCATTGCCTCTGACGCCGAGGATCGCGTAGCTCTGCCACGCGTGCCAGAGGTTTTGTGAGTGTCTTTCTCGTCTCGAAGCGAAGAAGGTTCACCAAGTTTCGGCAACATCGGGCCTGACATTATAAAGCCATAACGGCTGCCAAGGGTGTTGATTTTGCTCACTAGTGGGATACAGTGATTGTGTAAATATTGCGATGGTTATTGGAACTCGAGGTTCGCGTGCGGAAGGGGATTGATTGCAACCTAGTCTTGTTTGCAAATTCATTCGAAGCCCGCCCTATGGGTTTATGTATTCGCGACAACGCGGCGGGGTCACTTTAACGTTGTAATTTTGTATAATCAGGAAACCGTGCGTGATGGTTTGAATTGCAAAGGCAGACGAATGGGCTACGTTTAGATGGGCTGGAACAATGGATGCTATGTAAGACATCGACGACGACAATCAGCTCCAGCATGGTTACCACTGAAATTGGCTTCCTTGGCTTGATCATATCTCATCGAAGCTACTCATGGATAATAGTACACGACATTCGGTTGGCAAGAATCGTCAAAAGCGAATAGTTGCAATTGAAGACAGTTTGCGGTTAGTGTTCTTCACGTTTTATGAGCGCGGCCACTTTTAGCTGCTCCTGCTCGCCAATCAGCGTGCATTGATAATTGGAGGCGGACGCTACTTCGTCGAAGCAAAAATAAGCTCCCAAAACATCCTGGTTGCTGATTGTTGAGGTGCTTTGCTTTTCCCGAGCACTGATCAGTGCTTCTTGGTGGCTTTATCAAAATGGAAGGTCGAAAGCCGCCGTATAGTGCTGTCGCAGATCAATAAGCGTCTGGTCCTCATCGGTCTGGGATCGTATAATCTGGCCACCGATTTTCGCTACAAGTGTTCAAAGCTTAACCCGTGATGTTCGTCAATCCAAGTCTCTCAGAAGCGTTTTTGGATGTCTCTTTCACTTCGACAGCGGCATTCAGATCTTGGAGGTACCAAAGTGAATGCCTAATGATCGTCTGGATTGAGGTCAACTTGTGTCGTCTCGATTGACGTCAAGTTACGAGCCACATAGTCCCGAACGATGGCTCGATTCACAAGGACAAGCAAAGAGTTTATTCTAGCTGTGTCAATTGCGTATGATGGCTTCCGTCCGACATAAGTCGTACTTGAGGGCGATGCAGTCACATCACGACATGTAGTCTCGCCACACCGTGATGCCTCAGATCGCATTCGAATCCGTATTCCGCTGATATCACGCAAGTCACGAGACCATGGCCCCCGTGGTGTCGGGCGAGGTCGTTTTTACATACGACAAAAAGGCCAAAGAGAAGGTCCGAAAATGTGGGGGAAGCGCGAAACGGAAAGCCGTGCAGCTGGGCCAGGGGGCCGGAGTGTTTTCGGCCGTCATCCATTTCAATCCTACTTACGGTCAATTAGACGGGGCTGTCTACATACCCGAGGGCCAAAGTATTCCCGACGTGAACCATTTTGTAGGCCTTGGCAGCAGACAATTCTTCTGGCGTTCGAATGGATGGTCTGAACTGACATGCATCTGAACCAGCTGGCGGAACTCGCCAACGGCGAGCGCGGAACCGGAGGCCAACGCCGGGTCACACGCCGTCGACGGAAGAAAACCGCTCCCGAATCCAGTCAGATTCCGGTGGAGACCACCGAAATCAACGTGGGGGAGTTCGGAAGCATCATGCATGAAGAGCCCAATACCGTTGCAGACGCAACGGCGAATGAAGTCACAAGTGAAGATGCCGATGCCGATGCTCCCCACGAAATCGAGGCCGATGGAGACGGCGCCGTCGTTTTCGGCGGCACCGCGTCTGACGCCCAGCAGGAAGACGCCCATTTAGACGAAGACACCAAGAACCAGGCAGAACATGAGCTATCTACTGATACAGAACTGTTCAACCACGATGTTAACGGCATGATGGAGGACTATGTCATGATTGACACTGACACTGCCGGGGCGACTGGGGCGGGCGAAGAAAGTTCCTTCTTTGATTTGCTAGAGGATGGCTTGCAGGACCTGTTTGAGATGGAGGCTTTCGCGCCTTCGCTTGGGTCATATGGCGACAGCGAGCTGGGTGAAATGGAAGGACGGTCAAGCGACACCATTCTTGGTCGGGAAAGACTGGAAGTGGAGACATGGGGTGAAACGGAGAAGGAGAATACAGCGGCAACTACCAAGGGAGCCTCGAGCCATCAGATGAAAGCTCCGCAGACGCGGACAACTGCTGCCACACGTGCCTGCCGACCTGCAAGAAACACACAGAAGATTCACCGGTTCTTTTTACAAGTTTCAAGGCAGATTCGGCTTGCAAGACAAAGGGGGGAACTGGACACCGGGTATGTCCTCCAGACCAGGCGAGTTGCAAAGCAGTTAGCGAGGTCCAGGCGACGGCGTGGCGCAGAGGAAACCGATATGTGGGGCCGCTGTGAGTCGCCGGATGACCAACACAAAACAATCCTTAGTCTTTAGAAGCACAAGTTCCCGATTGAAAAAAAAAAAAAAAAAACATTAATGGATCAAAAATACAGGGATCGCGTTTATAGACCCAAGACTGAACAAATAATGGAGGCAAAGGAACCGAGTAATCTTAATTGAGCAAGGCTCAAGGCAAACGACTCAGAACGGTTTCGATTCTCCATCAAGTAATTTCCAAGTCACACACCCACTCCAGAACAAGCCCAAATCCCAGTTCCCCGATCGAGTTTCCGCCGCTCCCTTGGACAGTGGGGAAGAACCTCAACCAGACAGTGACGCGGGTGGTCAACGGCGGCACGGCCTACGAGCTCGACGTCGGGGCGCGTTATATGATCCATAATGTGTTCTTGCCTGGCTTGTCTTTCAACCCTCGAAACGCTAAGGCGCGTAAAGTCCTGGCTGGCAGAGCCGATGACTCTGTCTGGATGTTGGCATCTCGTGACCGTCGTCTTTTAGGCCAGCGACGACCATGGCTCCCGCAGGTGTCTTCGATTGCCCTGCGACCTTGTTTCCTCCAGCTAGTGACGACATCACCATCCTGCTGTGAGACGGAGGTGTGACCTGCTGATGATGGAGTAGGAAGCGCGAACGGCCCCAAGTACTTGTCCGACAGTTTCTAAGATGGCCTCCGCTGCTTGATCTTCTTTTTCAATTGCAGGACTTTCTCTCCCACCGTGAACTTGACGTCCAACCTTTTCTTATCATACCACTTTTCATAGTTGCGATTGCTGTTCCTCAGTGTAGCCTGGGCGGCCTGGCGGCTCTTCAGCTGGCCCACCCTTTCTGCCGCTGTCGGATCATCTGCTGGCTTCCTCCTTTAACCTCGTTGGGTCCAAGCGGGTTATGCTCATCAGCGCCTCCGCTGGTGACACCCCGATGCCACTATGCCAGGCCGTGTTGTAAACGTACTCCGCCATAGGTAGCCACTTCGCCCAGTCGTCTTGTTCGAGGTTGCAAAAGGTACGCAGAAAGTGCTCGACTTTTTGGTTCTGCCTTTCAATTTGGCCAACTGCTCTCGTCGGTATATAGAGAGCATACTTCGTTAGTCTGTCCACTACCACCAGAAGGCTGTTGTATGACTTCCCCGAGAATCCCTTGCTCGATGGTAACTTCGTGATGAAGTCTAGGGTGATATGCTCCCAGGGGCGGCGGTAGTGACGCGAGTTTGCCGCAGGGGAGGTGGTGCCTTGGTTTCGTCCGTTGGCACGTAGCGCAGGTCTTTACATACTCCTGTATGTCCTTTCTCATCGACGTCCAAAATCACGAGGTTCCCATGCGTTTGAGGGTCCTGGTCATCCCCAGGTGGCCCGCGGTTGGCTCCTCGTGGAAGGCCGATAGTATTCTTCTTCCACCGATCCCCATTTATCGTGGCGTCTTCCTTCTGGGCCGCCTTCACCTCTCCGTCCCAGGTGAGTCCCTCTACCACTCCCTCTGGGGTTGTTAAACGGCGGATTGGCGCCGCTCTCCTCCCCTTGAATCGTCCTGAATAGTCGTCCAGGAACGCGTTCTTGGCCTCCTTCTCCTCCGGTGGTGAGGGTCGGTGGTCCGGCCGCCTGGACAGCCCGTCGGCCTCGTTGTCCTTCCCCGGCCTACGGTCGATCTCGAAGTCGAACAACGCCATATCTTGGGGTGGCCTGGCCTGGCGGCTGTTCAGCTACGGCTTCGTCGTCAGTTATCTATGGCCCAGGTGGTCGGTCAAAAAGGTAATATGGTGTTGCGAGTATAGCAAGTAGTGCCGCCAGTGTATGGCGGACTCTCGGATCGCCAGTAGCTCTGCCTCCGGTGCCCCATATCTGAGCTCCGCTCCTCGCAGTTTCCGCGAGAGGGAAGCCACTGGGTGCCATACTCCCTCGTAGAGTTGTGCCAGGACCCCCCCGATTGCGAAGTTCGATGCGTCTGTTTCTACCGGGATCGGCAGCGCCGGGTCGAAGTGCTTCAGTATCGGGGCCTCTATGAAAGCCTCCTGCAGCGTATGGAGCGCCTCCCGCGCCGAGTCGGTCATCACCGGCTCCCTCTTCACCTTTGGGGTTAGTCTGTCGGTCAAAGGAGCACATGCCCTTGATGAGTTCTTGATGAACCTCCTGTAGAACCCCGTGAATCCCAAGAAGACTTATATGCCTCTCACGCCGGTTGGTACCGGCCCCTCCACGATGGCGTCTACTCTCTCCCTTTCCATCTCGATGCCCTTCTGGGAAACGACGAAACCCAGGACCTCGATCGTCTGGGTATGGAAGACGCACTTCTCCGGGTTGGTGTACAGCCGCTGCTAACCGGCTGAGCACCGCCTTGACTGCGTCCGCGTGATCCATTCATCCTTCGTGAGTATCAGGATATCGTCGAGGTACACGGTGCAGGTGATGTCCGCCAGGTCCCCCAGGGCGTCGTTGACGTAGGCCTGGAAGGTTGCGGGGGCGTTCACCAGGCCGAACGGCATGACCCTGTACTCGTAGTGGCCGTACCTGGTCCTGAACGCTGTCTTCGACTCATCGCCGGCCTTGATTATCACCCGGTGGTACGTGTACTTGAGATCCAGCTTGGTGAACCACTCTGCCTCCCCGTCCAATTCTTGACGGTAACCTTGCTAAGCCCCCGGCAGTCTACGCATAAGCGCAGCTTACCCCCCTTCTTAGGGATGAAGAGGACCGACGGCCTAGCAGGGCTCTTGGAATGGCGAATCCACCCTCGTGCCAGGGCTATCGCGATGTACTCCCTCAGCTCCTTCAGCTCCTTCTCCGCTAAGGCTAGATGGGGCCGAATGGCGGCTGCTCTCCTGGGTCTAAGCCGATGGCGTGGGCCCGCCCTTCGTCTCCCGCGAGTTTCGCCGCCAGGCTTACGTCGAACACGCGGGCCCATTCCGTATACTCCTCCGGAAGGTGGAAAGGTTCTTCTTTCCTCTCCTCCTCTGGAAGGAGATCGCCGTCGAGCCTCCGGTCCCCCTCAACCCGCGAGATTCTCATCACACTCGGCGCCGTCACCAAGAGTGTGGCCTTACTCTCGTTTCTGGCCCTGCTGATTGCCCTGGCTCCCTCCACCAGTTTAATCTTGCTCTCGTCCGAGGGGTAGGCTAAGCGTTTCGTCGGGGCAATTGGAATTCCCGACTTGGACTTCGACGGGATCGGCAAGGCGCAACGCGGCAGACGAGGGGTAGACTAGATGCCATCAACGGCAAACGCTGAGGAAATCAGCAACACCGTTCCAAAAGTAGAACACAGGGGCAGGGTATGCTGCACCTGACTGGCACATCAGGTGCAGGTAGCGAAAAGTGATATCTTAACAATCCAACCGCCGACCCTAACTATCCTTGGGGGATTTTGTTGTTTATTGTGGTCTACTGTCGCGAGTGGGAGCGGAATTGAGTTTGACGAAGGGTAAACGTCGTGGTAGATGGCGGAGGTGGGTGAGGTTGGCGAAACAGGAAGATAGCGCAAGGCAATGCTGTGAGAAAGAAAAAGCGCACAGGGGACTTCCAAGTACAGTGGGGTGCCACAAGTTCGCGTTCAACGCACAGTATCCCACCGAAAATCCCCTAATGATAATAGTAAATTGAATCACAAATATAACTTTGATTCAAAAATTAAAATATAGAAAAATATGTTAGCTAATACTGTACATATAGAGAGGTTTATGGTTATTTTGTTTAAATTTTAATAAATTATATAAGATTATAATAAGCGTCTTAATTAACACAGTCTCCCTGGCAGAGGGCACCTCTGACAGAGGGGGTAAGACTGTAGGCTAACCGGGTAGGTACACGGGTTAGGCGTGTTGGTCGTAAAGAGTGAGGCGATTGAAGAGCAATACGGAGGAGCAATACGGAAGAGCAAAGCGAAAAGCAAGATACGTATTGTGATGTATGTATTTTTATTGTTGTCCTTCCTAATGTTACGACCCAACACGGATTGCCGGACCAGAGCCCTGACCCACAGGACCTGCGGCGGCTACCGCACCATATATGCAACAGTGAGAACACAGACGACTCCCCTCGGGACGGAAGAACTATATACATGTCACGTGACCACGATCACACGATAAGATAAGGAACGGACGCCCGCGAATGAGTGAGACGGACGATCGTGGAAATGTGGGACGGACGACCGTTCGGCGAACGGTCGGACAGTAGTGAACAGAACATCACAAAGGATATGTTCACGATCAGGACTTGTGTATAGGATGGCCCGAGTCGGGCTCGAGGACAGACTTCCATAGCTTCTTCAGCAATTAACTTCGTATCAGATCTCACGATCGCTTTCGGCTATCTTCACTGAGAACTCACTTGACAAGACTACGATTGATCACCGAAGCCTTACCCACCTCACGACTTACAGACAATAGCTTCTCCGAAGCTATTCCAATAACGATTACTGTTTACGAGTATCGCAGCCCCGACTTCTGTTAACACAAACCCTCATTACGACTAGCTGGCCGTAACACCTAAGTGGAGGGACACAGCGAGCCCGTTTAAATACACAGGGTCGCCTTAACACGTGACTAGACTACTAGATGACTGTAGAGAAATGTCGGATTAGTATTTATTTTTAATACAGTAACTTAGTTTATAGAATGCTTTCAGTGCTAATCACACTGCACTACGTAGAGGCGGTTTTATTTACTTTACTTTTATTATTTTATATTACTATAACTCACACTGAATTACTTAAATAAATAAATATATAAAAAATAACTTTAGTATATTTTATAAGTTAATGATTTTTAGAATTTTTTTATTGTTATATTAATATTTAAGTTCTTGAGATAATTAAGCTTGCGTAAATAGTAAGTTAGTGGGTTTTGTGTGGCGCACTGCTAGTTGAAGGCAGACTTTTGGCACCGTTCTGTATGTCGGCGCGTGAGGCGGGGCAGGCGCTTATCTATGGTAGGCCAAAACGGCAAGGGATGACGTGGCCGAGAATCACCTGATGTGGCAGGTTTCGTAACTGGCAATTCAGGACCTCCATTTCCAAAGGCAGGCAAGCCTTATTGTTCTTTACTTATTGTTGCATTCACAACTTCGTCGAGGCAGAAGGGCGTAAGAACCATGTTCAATCACATGCACAAACCAGTGACGATAAGCACACATAAAACAGACATCCCATTGAGGGATAAGACTCGATCTTTTCCCATCCAGCACGACAATCGCTATTCGCTGGATGATGTTGCGTCCTTGGATCAAGAGGAGGTCTTCCTCGGTGCCTTTCTTGTTGATCAGGGCAACAAAGTGGCGCGGGTTGTCGAAGAACAGTCAGGGAGCGTGCTTCCTGAAGCTGACCATTCAAGTGCGTCCTCTCACCGTTGCCAGGCACCGTCATGAGGGGTTAGGAACAAGGGCGTCGGGTGCCATGGTGCGAAGGAACGCTTGCTTCCAGTTCAGCCTGCTCTGTCACTAAAGCTCACTGAAAATGACGCCAGTGGAATGGGCGGTCGGTGCATTCTCGGTAGAACTGCCCTTTGAGCTGGTGTCATTCCCCCACCCCGCCGAAACGGGGACATTGTGCCTCGTAGCACCACTGTACAGCTATGCGCATATATCGCTTCGTCTTGGGCACACATCCTCAATGTTTATGCAGCCCAAAGCTGCTGAGATGTCCTGTTCCGGAACATAGTTGTAGGCTCTGGGTGTGAACCTGAGAGCATTCACATCTGACTGTGAGAGTTGGCCTTTCTCCAATCATGATCCGCCGAAGTCTGCATGCTGTGCGACCGAGAATAGAGCGAGTTAGCATGGGCATACTGTAATTAGAGAACCGAAGTACCTTTCCATTCGAAGGAGTGACTGCTTGACTTGGACATGTGGAAACGCCCGTCGAGGGTGCGATTCTAAGGTACTCCGTACCTGAATGATCTCGCGTCGGAGTGCAATGTGTCGCCCGCTCTGGCCGCTCCTTGGCCTGAGTATCGGGGTCGAGGGCGCTCGCGTCAAGCGTCGTCGGCACACCCTAGCACAGCAGGAAGTGGTGTGTATTTGCGGAGATGTGGATTTGTAATACATACACTTTTAGCTCGTACCCTGCCCAATGAAGACTGCAGCCTGAATTCGAAGTACATAGTAAGCTAGACTAGAACTGTTGCTGAGTTACGGATACACTAAACCCTGCTTCAGGCACTTTGCCTACATATTCCGTAGTAGCGCGGGCAAAAAAGCCTCTGTGCATCCTTGCCTTTTAACGGATAGCCTTCCCGGGCATATGCAATACACGACCCATTGTTTTGCGGACCCTGTGTTGTACTGTTCATGATGAGGCATCAGCACGATTGTACTTCGATACTATCAAGATTTGCCTTCATCAATGTACTTCGCCTTGAAGCTCCTCCGCTAGACGCCGGCGATACATTGTTTCAGACCAACCAGCGTGCCAAGGACATATGAGATCTGCCATATCAATCAAAACCCCACCTCCTTTCCAGTTGTCTATTCGCATTGGCACCGTCAAACAAAAGCCGACTTGATAGAAGAAGTCCAGCTGAGCTTGAATTAGATTGTTGTCCAGAGGGGACTGACATTCGGGGACAAAGTCGTATACAATAGCGTGATAACTCTCGTGTGGCTGTATGTCCCTTCTGATACCATCCAAGGTGGCACTTGGCGGGCTGTTTTTGGGACCTAGGTCCCACAGCTTTTGGCCATCGACTTTTATCCAGCCAAAGCACTGCTTGATTGTTGGGTTAGAAGTACAAGAGACCGCGTTGGTTAACTGCTTCAGCTTTCCTCGGCTGCGGCCCTCATCCGAGAAAGCTTGCAGGTTGAGAAGGGCGTGTTTCTTTGTCTTTGGCTTGGGGTTCAGGTGTACGGGCTCATCGGGGTTTTTACTTGCGGCTTGGATCATTTGGAGCAATGCGGCATTATGACACTCTCGTTGGAGGGCCCAGTAACGATTGCCCTCTGGAGGGGTATTGTCCCAAAACTGTGACCCGATTAAAGTCGACACGATGTGCGGGGGCGACGGAGGTGCTCACCACTTTCACAGCACAGCCCCGACCGTTGAATTCGGCTTTCCAAACGATTCCGTCTAGTCCGTGGCCCACTTGCTCTTTCCAGACGATTTTGGCTTGAGGATCGAACTGTCTGAGAAGCGGAGGGCAAAAGTTCCTCCAAGAGCATAGGAGATCCCCAGTCATCGGCTGAGAGTCAAGAAACGGCACTGCCTTCGCTTTTTGGCAGCGTCTCCCAAAAGATGGAGAGGCATCCATAAGGCAAATGAGGATACAATAGATGGATGGTGTTTGTCTGTTTTTGGTGAAATGTAGTTGTTCAAGCTTAGGCCGGCTAGTGGTTGGTTTAAGTGTGAATTTGGACCCGTCGGGTACCGGTGACACGTTAAGCCGAGTCTCATACAAGGGTGGCCCAAAACGTCATGGGAGATTGCGCTTATGCCATGGTGCAAAGTTCTTGGGCCTAAAGTAGAAGGAGCACAGAAAGTCTTTTCGGGCCCCGATTATATGCCAGCTGCAGCATACATGCCCCACGAGCGGCAGTAGGTATATTCGAGAGCACCAATCCGCGATACAGCAATGATCCGGCCTGTACATGCTACTTCTGGATCAACAGCCAATGACCGAGATCGACGTCACCGGTTCCTATTCCCGTATGGCTTATAAAGAGGGCACCTCGAAGCTCCCTGGGCAACAAGTGTACCCAACAACTATTGATATCAATCCATTTGACCCCGGTCTACCATGGCTGAGACTGTTCTCGACGTGCTTCAAATGCCGAACCCGTGGCTAAATGCCAGTTCTGTCAGCGGAGGTTCAAACACAACCGGCAGAGACTGGATAAGTGTTGATTCATGGCGGCCGTGGACCGAGTTCACATTCGAAACTCTCTTGTCCGTCTTTCAACGGCCACTGATGGCATCCTGGAGAAACCCACCAGTAGTTGACCCAGGATCCGACTTTGACCACGACATACGGGATGAGCTCAGCCTTGATTATTTTCTGGAAAAGTTCCTATTCCCGATCATTAACCGAGCGCTGGAACGTGCTGCTGCCGTGAACTCGACGCGGGAAGTGTTTTACGTAAGTCCAGGCAGCTGGTGCCATGGAAGTGGCCCGCCAGACTGGGGACTGGTCGCCGTCAGCAATCTGTTTGAAGGGAAATACAACAACATTCTACCCGGTGACACCAAATTGTCAGCAAAATGGCAACCTTGGATGGAACAGTCACAGAGCGAAAGCGAGCGATATCAATGGACGTTGCCTATTTCTCAGGTCAACACCTACGCAGCTGATTCAGGTTGCCGCTACGGTTACATCATCACTGATCAGCATTTTGTGGCTCTGCGTTTTTCCAAAGAGAATGTGGACTTGGGATCCGCATCTTCTCGTCCAAGCCGAATTCCGCAGTCCTCTCATCAAAGGGTCGCCTCAGGCGAGACGGACCTATCGTCCATCATGGATGCCATGTCTCTCGACTCTTTTGGCGCCCAGTCCTTCATTGACAATAACCTCTTGAACATCGATTATCAAGCTCCAGAATACGCAGTAATTCCCTGGTCTACTTCAGGGAGACGAAGGCTGACTGTCAAGATGGCTTTGTTCTGTCTTTGCTTGATGGCCGCTGGTGGAGTTACCCACATTGAAGGCAATTACCCTCCACTCGACAGTTGGAATCAACAGGACCGACACCGATTTATCCATAACACCTCTGGGGTCCTCTCAAAAAGAGTTCCCCCGGGCGCGACCATTGTGAATCCTAGCTTTGATGAGGACCAACACTCCAATCATGACAATACAAACGCCGAGTTACTCCGCGAGGACGAATCCTACTATCACCGAGATCCAGCTGCCGAGCTACATGACGACAACCAAGCCTATGAGGAAGACTCCGACGCCCAAAATGAACCAGTTGGCGTTGATGAAGAGTCTGATCAGTATCTGCACTCATCAACCCAACAAGAACAAGATGATAGGCGGGCTACTCCTGGCCCCCCTTTGACGGAGTACTCGCACCAATTCGGCACCAATCAGGGGTGGTTTCGGCATCAGGAAGCAGAAACGGACGTCTCTTTGGGTGCTCTCGAGCCTGAGATCGAGAACACATCCCATCCCGGCCCCTCTCGAAGTGCGCAGAGGAGTGGCAGGCAATACACAGAAGTGAAGATCCAGAAAAGGATGCTTGGTGGGTACAAGTTTGCTTGGAAGGGTGGTGAAGTCACTACCACAAAGGAAGAATGGAAGGCAGAGGGAGACATGCTGAAATTGAAAAAGAAGTTCGATGGTCACTATATTAAAGGGCGGAAACCCTGAATAAGTTGGCGAGTTTCTGGCACTTTTGGCATCATTTTAATTTACTAAATCTGTCAACTCGCACCCACTTGCCCCAACTTTGCACTGGGAAATAATGCAGGGCTTCTTTTCTCCCTCTCTACTTGTTAACTCTAGATTCTCGTTGAGATCGGGTGCCTACTTCATCATGCAGCCTCGTCACTAACACCGAGAATCACAGTCTCAGGTTTCTGGAACACTATAAGGGAAAGACCTTTCAGGGGACTCTTGTGACACGGCGATTGAGCGCGGAACCGTCTGCGGCGTGGCTAATCAAATCTATCATTTACTGAGCATGATAGACGAGCGAAAAGAAGCCTCATCACGAAGCACCAGCTACTACAGCTGGAAGCCGAAAGGGCCAAGCGACCTTACCGAGTCCAGTCATGACGAGTCAAAGAGAGGAAATTTGGCACCAGGAGTGACGGAGGCCGCTACCCATGCGAACAAGATGGCGGGATATGTATGATCGCTGGGTTGTCCGAGGTTTAATGGTTAGCTGCACCTTTTGACCGCGAGGATGGATCCTTTCCAACGTTCATTTCCTGCATGACAGGTATGGCTGCAAGGGTCTGCCACCTTGGAGCAAGAAGTCGGACAGACAGTCCCTCCGAGCCCAATAGTATATAAATGGCAACCATTCCCCTTACAGCTGCCAACTCTCGTTCTCGTTCCTCATCCACAGTACTTCGGAATAATGGCATTCCACAATTCGACTCCGGCAAGCTGCCCCGTTTCTGACGATAACATTATCGTCATTAGCAGTGACGACGACTCAGAGGAAGACACAGACGAACAACTCGACTCCGATCACCACGACAGCCGGGCTAGCGTCGGGGAAGCCAACAACGAAGGCACCGGGGGTGCCGACACTGAGGACATCGATGACAGCAAAGACAGCACCAGCGAAGCCAATGCTGATGGGGCCGTTACCACTGTTTCCATCGCCGATGGCTTTGCTGCTGCCGACGAAGATGTCTCTGTAGCTGGGACAGCCAGCAACCGCGGAAAAGAGAGGGGCCCATTTGATGCAGGTTTTAACGGTTATGAGGTGCTTAAGGGATTGATGGATGCGGCACTGTTTGAAAATGCGGTCGCCGGAGATAGAGCCAAGTTGACCCAGAACGCCGTCCCTGCTAAGGCGAATCACACATCCACCGCAGCAGCAACTTCTCTCGGCAAACGCAGGCGAACCGGCCCAGAGAGGGAGGCTTCAAAGAGGCAGCAGGGTAGTCGGGGGGCATATGAAGGGGTACAAGAGTCCGAACACATCAAAGTTGAAGAGCTACACAGTAAATAGGTGATCCTTATCTACTTTGCTGGCAGTGAATAGAGCGTACTACATTATGAGTGAACGGAACAGTAAGGAAATCTCTAGCAAAGTCAGCACAGAAATCAACGTACTATTTCGAGAAAGCGTACCTATGTCACGGGATCGCGTGCCAGGGTGACGTCAAGGGTATCGCAAGCTCCCTAGAACTGTAACTCCTAGGACCACTTCACGGTATATTACGTTCTGAATAAGCCAGAAAGTGCTCTGGTGTTCCTCAATCCACTAGTCTCATTCGGGCATCCACGGGGAAATTCGTCCGCTTGTGTCATTCGTGATTCGTCTCCTCATATCTCCATGGCCCCAAAAGGTTCTCGTCGGAGATCCTATGTATCCGCTTCCGTACCGGTTGAGTTCAGCAGCCTGATTCGAGGTGGCTTGAAGGTCACGTGCTTCGACAGTCAGGTTCGTGGTCACATCCTAACCAACCAAGTAAGACGACTTGTCTAAGCTTGCAGCAGACCCAAGTCGGAGGATATGTTTAACCGACCGACGCCGGAGCGACCTAGCCAGCCTCGACACGTCGAAGGGTTGTCTTTGCGTGGCGCTGGAGACGGCACATGGGGCATTTGGTATGAATCAGAGTCTAATCTACCACTTAAATGTACACAGAGGGTCACCCGTCGTGTTTCTTCTCATATCTCCAATCATTGAGACGAGCCCACTTTGGCATCTTCTCTTTCATTGGGCACTCTGGAACCCCACCTGCGAGAACGAAGCACAAAGGAGTTCGGCATGCCTGTTCGAGAAGGCATGGTCCTTACGACCCTATCAGGTCCGCGAGAGCGCCACTCCAGCAAAAAGTCGTTTGCCTGGGAAAAGAAAGCCTGCTCATGTGATTTGGCATCACGTGTCGTACGCTCACGTGAGGGCATTGCAAGAAGACCCCGCTTCAAACGTCTCCATCTCCATGACCTTTGGCACCCTCGCCATTGCTGTACTTCCCGCTAGAGACAACCGGCACAAGGCAGCCTTCTCTCGAGTGAGTCAATCCCCAAAACAAGCTTTCGCCGGCCGATATGAGCAAGATACGCAATGAATAGTCATCGTTGTTGGGCCCAGCTGAACACAGCGTCAGGTGCACAATGGCGGTCACTAGTTCTCGCAAGAGTAGACAACATCATGACGGACGCGATACTTCGTTGAGCACTGCTCTGGTGTCCATTTGCCGTCCAAAGGATAGTAAATCGACTGCGATAGGCTTGGCTGATGCCTTTTGTAGGCACGTACTCAGTATCTGTCCCTGCCTGCCTCTTTCAAGACCTGCTCAACTCATCTTGACATTCGTTGAGAAATGGAAAAATCAACCCAAGTCCTTCCCCATCAGGAGAGACGCCTTTGCGCTGGTCATCATGGCCCTTGGTCAGCTTTCACAACCGACGGCAGGGGTTTCAACGTTCACTACTGAGGACCAGACCCTCGGGGATACAGATGCATCCCTGTACATGAAGTTGGCTTTGGCCATTATGAAGGATTATGCGCAGGCAAACACTCTCGAAGATGCCCAGATATGGGTGTTTGCGTCGCTCTTCGCTTTCTTAAGTGGCCGGCCGCACGAAACTTGGCAGTATTTGGCATCGGCCTCTAACCGCCTACCGCCTCGTACGCCCAGGTGAGCAACCAAAGATAGGACGCAACTGCAGCGGCTGACCTTGTTTCCAAGGTGGGATGCACCTTTGAACAAGCGCGATGAGTATTTCATTCTCACGAGACACGCATTGGAGTCGAATATTCGGATCTTTTCAAAGCTGCACGGATCACTTGCTCGTGGTGTCAAGAACCCGCGGCTCCGGTTTTGAGAGTGGCGGGTGTCGACGGTCGTGGTACGCCGGATTCGATTTTACGAAGGCCATCAGACCCTAGGAAAGACTTGTTGGTATGCACCAAGCATCCATGTCCCCTATGCATATCCAATGATCCCCAATCCAGCCAAGTTCTGAACCTATGCCTCTCATGGTGACGTGACACTACGATACTTAAAAAGCTGTTTGTCTCTTGGAGCCGGGCGAGATGTTATTGGCGCGGAAGGCTGTGGCCCATAGTCAACGCCAGGCAATCTGCCACTGCCAGTTTCATCCGTCGCTGGTTGTTATTCGGCCGTCGGAGGAGCAACCCGACAAAACGATTTCGCCTCTCGCACCACGCCGAGGCGACGCCTTGCCATTCAGGAAACGGCCATGGCTCGCGGGGATGTGATGCAGGGGACAGCCGACGAGAGCAAATATCGCGATGGTGTGCAACATGCAGACCCTGTGGGTGTGAGAAAGCCGGACGAAAGCCGGATTTGGCATCGGCAAAGGCCACTCGATTCGCTGCGGGCGCTGGCGAGCTTCGTATCAGCCCGATCCTCGATTGGGCCACTGCGCCCAGCAGTCCGCGCATCCTAAAGCGTCTCTCGCACGCCAGAGCAGCCGTTGGTTGCGCTCCGCGGCCTGTCGGCCACGGTTGTGGTGGCCAGGGGCAACTTACGATCCGCTGGAAAAGCACCCGTGTGCAGGGATGATTATTCCGTCCCACACATCTTGAGATCAACAAAGTGACCAGATCCCAGTCTCGAGAGTTTCGTGCCCCCTGGCTCGCCCCGTCGAGGACCTCCACGACAGGGCTGGCTGGGTACCTACGCCAACGTCTGCCAGAACGCGCGCTACTTGCTGGCCGGCATGGTGCCTCCGTCCGAATCGCCCTGCACTCACCCGTGCGTCAACGCGGTCTCCCTACTAGGGCCCGAGTAGGCCTGCCCCCGCAGTACCACCACCCTCGATCTGTTGAGCCTAGACTTGATGGGTACAGTTTCCGTCGCACGCTGTTTTGGTTTCTGTGGAAAGAGAGCTAAAGAATTGGAAACGGTGCTAGGCCCAATCGGGTAGTAGGCTAGCTGAATCGATATTGATTTGGAGGCCGGAGGAGGCATAGTGTAATTCCGGGCGGATCTTCCATCAGGCTCCCTCCCCTCCGAACGCTCTGTAACCGGTCCTCCCACCCTCGGCCAGCTGGCGGCCCACGGTTGCTCTTGAGCCACGGGCACGTTGTTTCCCATCCGGAAACGTGGTTCCGCTATTACCATGTTGTTTTGGAACCCCAGTTGAGCCATCTCTTGCTGCGTCCACCCCAAAGCTTTGACCAGCGCTTAACGGCCAGACTGCGAGCTCGTTTGGCAGGGGGGCGTCAATGGCAAGTCTCCGCACCTCTCACGGATGTTGCTGTTTGCCTTGCCGTTCGATGTTGGAGAGAGCAGGTCTCGCCAATGTATGGTACTTTGAGGCTGCGGAGAGCTCGCCGGGTATGTATACCCCGCCATGTACGGCGATAGGTTCGAGGATGACAGCGCAGCGCCAAACATGCCAGACACACACACAAAGGGCTCATTGATATTTGGCTAAAAGCCGAGGATGAGTGCAGCGCAACCGTGTTAGTTACGGCTGTAGCTGCGCTAACGCAGGAGACTGCCAAGAGAAAATGGCTTGTTGTTATTTTTGTGGGATTTGATGGCAGCCAGGATCCGGGAAGAAGTAGCAGGGCTCCTGAAGACATGTCGTCAAGATACTGAGAGGGAATAGATGCGACATGGGGAGCATTGGTTAGAAGGCGCATCGCGACGACAAAATCTAGCCACGCTTACTTTTCGACCGAGTGCGAAGAAGTCTATTCCATCAGGCCCCTTGGACCCAAGCTATAAACAGACATCCACAAAATGGTGATCGTGCTTTTGCTGTGACCGCGTGGTCGCGGTGCTGCCATTGGATCCCGCCACTGCAGCTACTGTGCTGCCGGTGGTTTAGGCTTGAGACTTGCAACAGGTTTTTCATCGATGAAAGAGCAGACGACTTTGACTCAGCACACGGTAAAGGCTGCGGACATGGTTGGACGTGTGTCGAGTATTGTTTCCGTTTCGTTGCATGAATACCTCCATTTTCCCGTTATCAACCTGAACAATAATTTCCAGAACCTTTGTTCGTGACTGTCACGGCAAAAACGGACCCATTATTGCGGGCCGCATCATCCACATCTATCTACATCTGGTGACAGTAACCATCCTATCCCAAAATCAAAAGCCCGCCACATGATACAGTACGTCGCTGGCCCACACGTGACAAAGTGAAAGAAGAGAGATTAAGCCTTCAATCGTCCAATGGGGTTATCTGTTCAGGAAATGCGGATGTTGGAACACGACAAGATCCAATTGCTCCCCAGCTACATCCCAATCGTTGCCGTATCCAAGCAAGACGTCCTGGTGCGGAATGGGCTGAGTGCCGAAGCCGTAAGTCCACGGGTGAAGCAGCTCAGCCGGCGTAGCACAGGCACAGTGAGTGACACTGCTCAGGCACGCATCAATAAAGTCGGCTTCGGCGTACGAGCTCTCCCTGGAACAGCCGGCCGACGTGCCGTCTCCCCGTGGCTTACGCATCCCACCGGCAAAGCCGTCATGCCATCCACAACAGCAATTGCAAGCGGGATAGAGGGGAACCGACGCATGCTTACCCAGGCTAGGGACATCGAGGAGCTGCTGGTCGCGTGAGGATCTCCACCAAAAACTTGAAATCATTAGCAGTCGCCTCCTTCGTCCTTACAGAATGCCAGTCTGACTCACCTGATGGATGGATTGCAACAGCAAATAGGCCACATCTGAGCCGAGTGGTAAGGGAAACCTCGACTGCCATAACCGTCGAACATCTGTTGCTGAAGAGCCAAACTCGAGGAGGTCACTGCGGAGGACTGTAGCTTGAGCACCGAAAGCATATCCTCAAAAGTAGATTCCCCAGAGGAAGCCAGCTTCGCAGGCGATAATAACGGGCGCGGCTCGGCGTCTGATTGGTGGTCCCTTTGACGGCACTTTGCGTTTGCTGACCACGACGTCTCATACACTGGCGGGGTTCGCGGTCTCGACGCGTCTTCGTAACGGACCGTGGCCTCGTCCAAAACTGTCTGTGAGTCCGGTCCGGGCGCCAGCAAGTTCGATACTGACATTGGAGAGGCCTTTGTCACTGTAGGGTTCGTCAAGTATGTCGTTGCGTGTTTGGCCGCAGCGAAGCAGATCATGAAGTACGTGGTGATGAGGAGATTCCCATATCTTATAGGTTGAATGTTCGAGCTGGGCATCTGGCAACCTTTGCCAAAATACATCATACGCGCTGGCGCAGGTGGTGCCGAGTTCTATCGCAATGGACGGGGAGGTGCTCCTTTGTTTTGTGTTAGCTCGCACCAGCCCGGTTGTCTGACAAGCATCCGAGTCGGCGAAGCGGAAGCGCTCCAGGCGAGGACGGGGGCGACGATGGCTGACGAGTAACAACCAAGTGGTGCTGCCCTGAGAACGCGACGGTGAAGAGAGGCTGAGGAGATTGCTTGATACATACGCACGCAACAACGCCAACCGCCGTCCGACTCATTCGAATCGGGTGTGGAGCTTGATGATGGTATCGCAGTATCGCTTCCACTTCTGGAGCAGCAGGCCGATTGCACGGGACGATTCTTGTGCGGCACACCCCAGCTACCTACGTACGATACAGCTAGAGCGTGAAACGAAAAGCTCCGTTGACCAATCTCTGCGCCGCATTGCAAAAAGCTCGAAGCGGCCGATAGACTCCGGGCTCTTTGGTCGAGTCCGCAGGATTGATAGGTTGTGTTACAGTAGCTCAGTGGTTTTGAGCTTACACGCGATCCGAAGGAGCCGCCAAGACGATGTTTGGAGCCGTTCCTGGCTTCAGACAACACATGCTTTTAGCTTCAAGTAAGCGCAGTTGTGTGGGTACGACTTGCTACGTAGGCGGACAAATGCAATGACGCGTCGGAGGAGTCAAGGACGAAAACACCGCCTACTGGGTATCGTATTGTACATCTTCTGCCTCGTCGCTTCGGAAGGTCTAAAAGATCCAAGTCTGGCCGCAGAATAAGCTGCAAAAACCCAACAGTGATTATGGTTACCATCTCACGCCAACCGCCACAGATGCCGGGACCGCCGTCAGAAACCTGGCTTTTCGTCGGCGGCGCAACTGAACAATCACCAAAAGCAGTGCCACTTTCACTGCGCGCCCTTCGACAAATTGGTAGTCGCCCAAATTAGCTTGCATGAGCGCTGGACTCTACGAAAAAAGGCATGTAGACAGGTGCCGGACAGTCGGATGCCCAAGACAGATAAGCGGGATCGAGTGAAGCCGGTCACGGGATGGACGTCAGCGCAAACGTAATTCGACAGAACCAAACCCCAATGTCAGACTCGACGTGCCGTTATACAGACGCCTCGTTCCTCACTAGAACCAGCCTCCAAGATTGTCCGGTGTCCCCTTCAGGGCCCTCCTTGTGTCGACAACTTCAAAATCATATTCCCCTCGACCACGTCGTACGGGAGTCAGAAGGAGATCAAGTTCAGCTTTCGTCAATGACAAGCCTTGTCCGTAGAAATTCTCTTGATCGCCGTACAAATTGGCCTTCGAGGAACTGTCACGAGCCATGCTTGGCTCCAACACCGATTTTGTGTCATCGATGACGCTCTTCAATCTCCTAAGCGAATCGACAAGCTGCGTCATAGCCTCGTCGATGTTGGCCACGAAGGTTGTACCTTTCAGGGCGACGGAGACGGCCGGAGTCTCTCACAAGTTCTTCCAGACGTTTGTCTCTACTGACCGGTGCTTTTCGAGACTGTATTGTATTCTTTGTGAGGTCGATAGCGTGGCTCGTCCCGCCCAAGGCCGCCACTTTGTTGTCTAAGTCGGCTGGCTGATACGGCAGACCGGTTGATTGGCGAGGGCACTTCAAAAGTCTGGCTGCCAATTGCCATGCGGATCGGCTGAAGTGCCGCTAGGATGCTGAGCCAGCGGCGTGTCCCAGATCATTTTATACACTATGAAAGAAAGATATGGCTGTGGAGCTCGAGGGAAAAGCCACACATTGACCATGACCGCTTCTTGAACGATCAAACACCAGCCGAAAAAGTACAGCAGGTCAGGCCGCTGTCGTTGCCGTACTTTCAACGAGCGATAGAGTTGTTCCGCATCCGTTACCCACGAGGCGATCTCCCCTTGGCCAATGGGATGTGCCACGCACTTTTATGCATAGATATTCCCCTCCGCGATGGCGTCCAAGATCTCGGTGCCATTGCAAAAGCGGCTGTTGGCATGAAATGCCCAGCAGATTACGGCCTTTGCAGAACTGGCTATGAAGGAGATCCATTTTCTGGTAGACGATATCGGCTGTCAACATGAGCTCACACGTGAAAAGAACACAAGTCGCTCTCGTCTGACCAGGACACCTGTCTGAAGTTGTGTTACTGACGATATTAAGGTCGTCACCCGCGTGATATACACAGGAGCCATCGAGCAGCCGTAGACGTGCTCGCCTAGATTATGGACTCCATGTGGTGAGCGGCATAGAGTCACCTCACCGCGGTAACGTCTTGCTGACGGAAACCAGGACCAGTCTGCTACGGCAAGACGAGCGGTGCTGCCTTGCAATCTGCCTGGCCGTCAACTACCCCCACAGCGGACTGACTGAAGACACGTGGTACCCGCCGTTTGACAAGGTAAAAGAAGACATCAACAGCGACGCGGGACATCGGTTCGTCGCCTACGTGATAGGCTCTCTGTGTGGACCTCTCCGAGGCAAAGAGTTCGTCGTCAAGGTAGCTGCGCTTCTGGCATGCCTCAAAATCCGCAATGCGCACGGCTTGCCTGATGGAGGACTGTTGGGCAACAGAACCAACCTCCTGTTCGAGTTTGATAAGGCGTTGAACTTCGACTTGGGCAACATACCCGTCGTTGTCAATGTGCTGGAACAGGTCCTGATGTTCTCTGCGCGGATATGGGAAATCCATGCGCCGGAGGACGCCATCCAGCCGGGGTTACTGCCCCCATCTCTGAACCTATACGACGATTCGGTGTCGAGGAAGATGCTTTACATGTACTGCTGCGTGCGGATCTTGTTTCCCGACACTCACGAGTCGTCGATGCACCGGACACGCGCCGTCTTCCAGTTGAACACCGCAGGCGCGCCCGAGTTGTTCCTCGACACGCTCAGCGACGACGAGCTGGAGTCGGCAGGTCATTCAATGTGTGACGCAGATGAAGACCTGCTCGACGAGTATGTTGGAACGTCCAACGCCGACTCCGGCTTCGTTGAAAGCTCAGAACTGTCGGGGGAAAGCTTTGAGTCCAATGCTGAAGAAGAGGAGGACGATATAGTCTAGGTGGCGAGTCGGATTTCCTTCGCGCAAATTGGTTTGTACTGTAATTTTTTCATAGAATCTTATTCTCCACAGACGCCAGCCATGTGAGTGAGCCTGCCCGTGGCAGAATCTGCCAAAAGTCCCAGCACTACCCTGGAGGGTTCCTTTACCGGGCGATACACTCTGCAAACCGTGATAAGACAATGCCCTACGCTTCGCCTTCGAGCCAGGCTGCCAACTACGAAGCATCAAGTACAGGATTCAACCTTGTCGTGAAATTCATGGGCGAGCAGAGATGCAGGACAAGGCACTGGTCAGCAAGTTGCCCACCAGCGCTGTAAGTGGCTGCAAACCATCCATGCCATCCTCGAGCACCACTACGGAAGCAGGTTACGTCCGCTACGGCCAGCACCAGATGTTTCTCCCAACACAGCATGTATGCTCTTTATCATGATCGTATCTCGTACGCTGCGCGTTGCTCTTATAGGATGCTTCTGAGGCCGCTGAAACCCCGGTGACCGTCGCCGCTGATCTGTCTCCACATCACCATGGTTACTCGTCAGTTCGTCCTCTGCAATGTTTCGCTGGTCGCTAGCTCTCGTAGCCCTGCTCCTCCAGCCCGTTCATTTTGCCGTGGAGGCGACGTCGGCCGTCGAGGTCCTTTCGCAGGTTCCATCAGGTGCCGTGAGTCACTGCAGCATCGTCCAGGTCTGTCGCGCTGACAAGGCATCCATCCAGTCTGGATGTATCAGCAGCACGCTCGCCATGTCCGCCCGTGACCCGGAAGACGTGACTACTTGCATCTGTTCCAGCATTGCCATTCCAGCGGACTCATCGGCATCGTGATCGTGCTCCTGCTGCACCGCACGCTCTTCACCATCCCATTCGCGGTGCAATGCTTGCCTATACAGTCGATCTGGAATCGCACCATCACCGACCGTCGATGTCTCAGCTTGGAAGCGGTGGGGTATAGTAGTGGCAGACTCGCCATGGCAGAAGATATCACTATCTTGCTCCTGCCAATCTTAGACGTTTGACGACTGAAAGTTTCTCTCCGGCAGCGCCTGGCAGTTATCGCGCTGTTCAGCGTTGGTTCCGGGTGAGTCACGCACCCGCTCTCTGGCAGGAGGGAAGGAGAGGAAATCTCACAGGGCAGACAGCGCTTGCGTGGCATCAGCCGTCCGCGTCAGATCCCCGGTGGAGTCCGTCGAGCAGTCCATGGCGATGCTTTGTGGGAGCTTACCCACCCTGCGTCTTCTGTTTGTCAAGTTCGCGTCCCGCCGCCGTCCCGCATCGTCGGAACGCTTTTCAGACGAACATAGTCCGCAACACGGGTGGAATTGGTCTCTCGACAGACTGAGGCAATACCGAGCCCGAATACGTAGAGACAGCGACCCCGGGCCCCAACACGCAGGTGGTGGTGTTCTGGTGACGACAACTGTCGAGATCGCCCGACGGTCCTACCTGAACACAGACCTGCCACCCTTCCATCGCCCGCATACCCCGGACATGAACGCGTGACGAAAACGCCAGGACAAAGGAGATGATCTGCCATGTGGAAATGGTACCAGCCGACCCGGAGGGCCGGCGACCGGGAACGAGACGAAAATTCTGAACTACGGGATGCTAGCGGTATAGGTCCAAAGGTGCCGCGTTGTTTGTTTTGATCCGTGTAAAAGCTGTTGAAGGTCAGTGCTTTGAGGAAAATTGAATGAGGGTTTCTTGTAGGTGGGGCCGAAATGGGATGAATTCTTCAAGTGCATCGGGTCAATTCGGCATTACCCGGCCGATCGAGTGTCGAATGGTCAGAGGCTGGTCAGCTTGGAAGGCAGGCCTGCTTGGGCACGTCATAGGCCGGGGATGGCAGCAGGGTGTAGCCAGAAGCGAAGCCCGCGGAGCTACAGACGTAGCCATCCAGTTTCGGCTCTCGAGGCTTCACACGAGCAGTTTCCGGTTCTCGCTGTTCGACCCAGGGGTCCTGTTGGCTACAATACCAGCAAGGATAGAACGGGTCGATAAAAACAGCATGTGTCAAACGAGAACATCTCTTGATGCTCGACGTGGAATATGTGAGTTTGTTTTTAGAAGGCACTCTCGAGTTTGCCAACGCGACAGGCTAAGTTTGATCAATGGATTTCAACAGCCCCACATCGCTGATGTCTCCTGGCATCAACGCCGCCACATCTCCCCGAAAGGCACAACATCCCGTCTCTCATCAAGGCAACGGGGAGCCAGTCTCTCCAAACGCGGATTTGGTGGCCGACGAATCATCAACTACCACCAAGATCAACTTGGACGAGGGCGGACGTCAGATGACTTATGCGAAACTCATTCATCTGGCCCTTCGTGATAAGGACTCGGGGCAGATGACCCTAGGCGAACTCTACGGCTGGTTCGTAGAGAACACCGAGAGAGCCACCGATGAGAATCACCGATGGAAAAGCAGCGTCCGCTCAAACCTCAGCCTAAATCAGGTCCGTCAGTGGCTTCCGGAACATCGTCAACCAAAGGGCATCTGGCTGACCTTGGAGAAACAGGCTTTCGAACGACAAGAAGGGAAGGGCTCTCTTTGGCGGCTCGCAGCCGCGGGCTCGGCTGATGTTCAACTGAAACGCAAGCCTCGAGCTATCCGGAAGAAAAAGGCGAAAGCACCAGCGGCATCACCTGCGCTATCCCAGTCCGGCTTGTGCGACGTCTGGCAGGCAAACGCCACCGGGATTCACCACGGCCACAACAGCCCTCGGAGCCGCGACGACTCCGCCGGATTTTCGGAGGGGAGCCAACCGGCAGGCGGCACCTCTTTCAACAATCCCACCCCGAGTCTCATCGATTTGCCGCGAGGTGAAACGGATTATGTGCAAGATCCTCTGTGGGCATGGAACTTGGACGGAAGGCACTGTGTCCACTGTCCCTGTTGCAGCTGGCCCTGTACCGAGTACCCAGTTGGTTGGACAGATGTGGGCGGTACGCTGCACCCTTGTACGAGTACTCTCGGGGGTTTCCCCAACCATGCTTCCGGTGTGGAATCGAGGCCTTGCCCGGAAGGTCTGTCCATTGGACGATTTGAGTGCTGACATGCGTTCACCTTGACATGGACGAGCCGCGGCCAGCACCACTGTTGCATTCGCGGGTACTGGTGCGTTCGATCGGCGGTGTTGGTTTTGGAAGAGGCATCGCAGTACAGTGTACTAGAAAACATCTCAATGACTCGCGGCTGGTAATTTGGTACCCGAACCCGCTTTCCCTTGTGATCACTCTGGGCCGTATGTGCGACATTGCATGATTTCCCACTTCCGCGACTGGCGGTCTCCTGCTGGACGAGTCCGAAGGGGCTTTCTCCCTTCGACCAGTACTATTGCCTGCGTGAACGTCAACCCGTGGTCTCGGCTTGACCCAACCATTCGGCCAGAAGTCGGGCCATGCCCAGAGACTGCTGGATGGCATGCCACGTCCGGACATCCAATGCCCAAGTATGCTTGTGTTGATAGGAAACGCGACGAAGAGCGTCGTCATCAAAGACTCAGCTTGGACATCGCCAGACCCAACACGACCAGAGCTGATGCCCACATCGCGGGGCGCGGCCGTCCCGTCGGCGGTGGAAGCCGGTGACATCGTCTACAACCGCATGCTCTTCCACTTCGCCGATGTAGTGTGCCTTTTCGCCGACGACCTTGACGGCTTGGAGCCTGTCGCTCGGCGGGTCGCGACGTGGCTGGACTTGGCGCGTCGCCGGTGTCTTCCCGGTTGGTGATCGCAACGAACGGAGGCGAAGTAGCTGCCACAACCGCGCATACTGCCGTGGCTCCCGTTCCGAGCGCTCTAAGATGCCGAATTGCTGAAATTCGATTGTGAGCCCGATTTATACCTTAATGCACACACAATCCTTCTTCTCCCCGATGTCGGTTGGGCAACCCGATGAAGTTGGGCGTCATCAGTCAGAGAGAGCGGATTATTCCCCGGGGGAGGGGATGGAAGCTTTCATGAGCACCGTGTCTCCCGACTATCAAGCGTTCTCGCGAATTCAGCGTCCTCTGGATGCTGTGTGCTGCCGCCGCTCCCCACGTCTCCTGTAACAGTAGGTAACGCGGATGGCGTTTGACGCGAGACGCGCAGGCCCTTGACAGCATGGAATAGCAGAGACCAATCCTTGACCAAGAGTGTTCAAGCAGCGTGCACTGTGTGGTTGCCGCTCGGGATGGCCCGACAGTGGGCTCAGGATAGGGGCGCTGGAGATGCGATACCTCCACCAGACTGAGCCAGCACGGGCTGACAGCTGCGAGTGGTCCGTGACCGTCTAATGAACTACGGGCCCTGCGTACACGGTACGCCAGAGATACAGTGAGGTGGCAACAGGCATGCACCGCCCACAGGTGGACGAGCGAGCGTCGGTATAGCAAAGTACCACTGACAGGTGAGGCTGGCCGTTTGGGTGCAATCACACGGAGTGAGGATGGCTTCTTGTTCGATGAAGGACGTTGATCCAATGCATCGTTGGTGGGATTCATTGCCTTAACCGGGTCGTCTGTGGATGTCTCGCATCTATCTGCCACTATCCTTTTTTTTTTTTTTTGTGAAAACCGTTTGATGCCACCATTGTGCCCTTTGGTCCGCATATGGCCGTTGGTCTCTTGGCTAGCCCCCTAAAACGCTACTTCCCAGCGGGGGCACGTCTGCCAGCCATGCGAGGCCGATGTTCTTCGGAGTGACTCTACCGTGTTCCTTTCGAAGACACAGACTGCGTGCGGTTCGAAGACGATGAGTCGTATGTAGTCGGTCCAGCGTATCGCTGCCGATGCGGTACTGTGCAACGCTCACAGGTGATAGGCCAGCCAGTGCCCACCGAGACCAGAAGCCTGGCGTGGGGTGCCTGGCGAGACTGGCATCGGCCCCGACCTCTGTATCACAGCTGGGAAAAGGTCGACCAGACAGCGATCTTGACTTGCTGCACTGCCACTGATCCGTGTGGCGATGCTCTGCACCAGAAGCATCGCACACCTTTGCCCAGAAAAAGTATTGGACTCTCTGCGCACGACTGACTCGTCCCGCCCCCCACCGCAGCGGTTTCCTCTCAGCTCGCAACGAAAGTCGGCGTGAATATTTCCCAACTCTCACCAGGGGCCCTCGATAAGCAGGCGAATGTCGAAACTCAACATTTGCGACACCAGCGCTTCCGTTTCACAGACCTTCCACCCGAACTGCAAGATCTCATTTGGGAATACGTCCTGCCCGTGCCTGACCCGCGTGTTCTCCGCGTCACTCACCGTGGGTATCCGACGCGCAGCCCGCCCAGCTTCACCTTCCACGCTGCCGGCCATCCAGCACTCCTTCACACGTGTATGCACACGTGTATGCACACGTGCAGGCGATCCCGTCAGACTGCTCTTTCGCACTACAAGCCTTTCTCCGGAGACAGCAAATCTGGACCGGTTTACTGCCGCCCGGAGCTCGACATTCTCCACCTCGACTTCGCTCCTCTAGACATGACCGTCTTCATTTTCTTTGTTTCACGCTTCCCCAAAGTCAAAGAAATTGCGACGATTGCAGTCCCGAGCTTCGTACCTGATGCGACGCTGAGCAGTTTAGCTACAAGAACGGATTGCTTCCCAACCACGAAAAGGCTGTTGGTGGTAACGTCACCCAACTTGCAACAACTGAACAGTGGCTGTTGCACGCATACCCTCGAGCTTTTGCCGTTCTCTCCAGACAGCGCTGGCGAGCCGCGAGCCCTAGAGCTACAGAAGTCTATCAACGCAAAGCGTTCCAATCTTGGCGACACGTTGTACGTCGAGGCCATCCTCGAAAGGTTGGTTCCTCGCTGTTCCCAGGATGAGCCGAGCCAGCCGGCGTAAGCGCGCTGCAGACCCGTATCGCAGCCTGCGGTACACCGAAAGTGGCGGGCCTTTCTTGGTCTCATAGGCGACTTCCGCCCGCTGACCCAGGCACTCTCAAGGCGCTGGTGTGTGCTAGTTGTCACAAATTGGCTTTTTTTCCCTTTATTCTTCTTCTTTCTTTCTAATCTGTATATATAAGTATATAAGGTCAGAGGGCAGGTTGCTAATCACCGAGGAGCCCGGGACGCTTGACACGTCGACCTGCCACGAAGTTCGGCTCCATAGGAAAGAGAGAACTAGCGTTGGTAGAGGACGGTTTCCAAAGTAAATAACCTGAATAACGTACTTGGTAACTTCATTAGATAGGGACCGCTCCTTCACTATATCCCAGAAGCAGAGGTTTACACAGTGTTATGAGCAGGTCGGGACGCCTAACTGTGCTACAAGATGAAAGTCTTGGGGTCCTTTTTTGTGTGATTACAAGCCCACCATGACCAAAGGCGACGGGCATGACAGAACCGTTGCACGAACATGGGCATAGCCTGTGCAGCGCCCATGTAGTAGTGAGCGTGGTCTCTCAGTGCCTTTATGGCCATTCTCACAAACCAGTCCATGATTACGGCTTGACAAGAAGTGATGACTCCAAACCTGGCATCCCAGGCGGGTTAAGCATCAAACGGTGCAAGGTTTGTCCCACATGCCATGACTGCGGTAGACGCAGTAGGCTGTCGGTTGCGCGAGGCCGCCCAGAACAGCGTCCATTGCAAAGGACCCACTGCTCCCCATGGCAAACCAGCTTATCTGTATCGCCATCTGAAAATTGCACTCCTATAGCTAATCGCCTCTTGATCGCGGCGAAGGAAACGACATACAGTATGTATTGACCGGCTGCGAGACAATCCCAGCTTTACGTACGCCTAGCCAACATTAAGATCTAGTGCTGAATCATAGTGTTTGCACGGGCGACCGATGGACCGCTGCTACTGAAAAGCCGCTGCATACATTCCATCTTTAGAGTCTTTCGGTCCATCTATCAAGACGGTTTTTGAGACATGTTCAGTACCTCATTGTGCATAGCATTACGGCGCTTGCGGGAATGCGGTCGCTGTGATTATGGCATGGACGGTCACATGATCGACTGCATCCGGGGACCCGGGGGCACTAGTGAATGGTGCGGTTTTCCTGCGTTGACTATCAAAATGCCCTCATTCCAACCATCCTGACTACGCCACCATCGCCTTGCCCAGGTTGACATGATCCGACCCCTGCTGGAATCGCTTCAATCAATTTGCCCTTGGACCTGTGCCTGATGCCGGCGTAAGGCAATCAAAACGTCCTTCAAGTGACGTAACTTTGGGACATGCTCTGGATTGGTTTGCTTCATCTCGCCAAAAAGCACATTAGCACTGTCGTCGAAATCGCGATCTGTGAGCAAAGCCGTCCAATGTCTGATGAAACGACGTCCATTCGAGGTCGAACGCAAGATGATGTAGGTATTGACGGTAGGGTTCGAGGATCCTGAGTCGGCAGCATCTTCGCAGAATGCTTCTGATTTTTCGTCTACTGCCAAGGCGCTGCCAAAGGCCTCGCAGACGAGGAGACAACTGGCGTGTACGTCGTCTACCGCAGCGGCCTGCACCCATAAATAAAACGACTTTTCTAAAGAAATGAATTGATCATTACTCATAGGTTCGTAGGTTGACATTGTCAAAAAAAGAAAGGTGTCAACAAAATCGAAACTTGCTGAGCGGAACAAAGAGGAACCCGTCTTGAATAGTATTTGCGGCATGCAAACCATCTGCTTGAGGAGGCAGAGCGGGGTATTTAAAGAAAAAGTTGGCCTGGGTGTGGTCGAGGTTGCCGGCAAAGTCGCTTGTGGGGCTGCTAGTGTGTGGGTCTGGCTGTACTGGTTGACACAGCCACCGACTAAGTCATCGGTGAACGGACGGAATTACCTTGGTAGGGTTCTATCTCACTTCCCGCCATGTGATGAGATTGCTGTGCACATCTTTCATAGCCAGGAAGTGCCTTACAAACGCACGCCACAGACGTGACCTATCAGGTTGGCAATCAGTGGTAGCTGTGAATCGCTGTCTCGCGCAAACCGCGGTGCAATTGGCGTTTCCCTTTCGCACCACGAGCGGTAAGAGAATATCATGTGGGGTGTTGGGACCATGGCAAGGCAGTGCGGGTAGAGGATCAAGAGAACAACTCCAACAGCGGTTGCCAAGGCTGTCTGATAGAGTATTCAGGTTTTCGACTTCAGTTGAGCAAGCCTGGTAGTTTGAATCGATAACCACCAGGTTCTCTTGTCTTCACCGCCGATGACCCCCCCAGCAGCTGAGCCACACAGAGGGGTGGCGTCTGCCATGAGCCAATAAACGCTGATTTCCGCACGTCAAATGCCAACTCTACAAGCCAGGGCGCCTGAATGCTATTGAATCCGAAACTAGACCAAGATGAAAGCATGGAACTGCGAGTGATCACGTTATGTGGCCCATATGGCTTGTCAAAACTTTGTGAAGGGAATTCGGCCCTAAGCTTTAAAGGTCTCCTGACAACCTCCAGAGGCGGCTATGGCGGATGATGAAAAGAGACTAGGTCTTTATGATTCGCTGACAGGCACAGTGCTGGGGAATGCTTCTTTCATGTCTCTTTTCAGAAAATTCGAGTTCGTCGCCGCAACACCCGGACAGCCGTTGAGTGTGAGACTAGAGCATTTCGATTCATAGGTCCTATTCAAATGTAGGGACAGCTTTGGGTCACACCCGAAGCCTGGTGGTCTACTGTCGCAGAGTGGTTCTAGTAGATTATGGTCATACATGATGGACAACAGACTAGGTTACTGTTTTCAGATTCACCGACGCAAGCAATACACTTGTTTTATTCTAGCGGTCTTCAAAAATAGATTCAAAGCATCTTTGGAAACATTCGTTCATGACGTTGCCTACCAATCGAAATCAATGTCTTTTACATCTGCCCTTTCTCTCACAGAGTCCAAAGTCGTCAGCGGCTCAATCTCAATACAGACAAAAACATCCTCTCCCAAAGGGGTTTCTGCAATGCATGCCCGGATGAATTCTGCAAAAATTCGCTTCATAGACTCAAATTGCGCTTCTTTTCCACAGGGAACCACCTCCTCAACATCGGTATTCCGGGCTACCATCCGGAACGATAGGTATTTGAGCGCAGACCACTCAAACTGTAATGACAACTTTGGCAACTCTCCTACGACTTCGGCGAGTGTCTTGCTCCGAAAGCTTCCTTTTGGCTTCCAAGTGTAGCTTTGACGCAGTGGATGAAGAGTCATCGCGCGGTACACAAAGTTCACCTGCACCCATCGCACCGATGCAGTCTGACGTGTCTGGTTGAAAACGGCTGGCTGTTGAACGCTGGTCCCTGTGATTTCGGTGACTACCGATGAGGCGATTTTGTCGGGTTGTTGCGCGGCAGGGACGGTTGAAATCTGTCCGTCAGACAGCGCTTTAGTTGGCTGCACTGGTGCTGAAGGACCATTGCCGTTGGTGCTCCTTTCTGGTTGAGGTGGCTGTATTTCAGCTTCGGTACTCACCTGAATGACACCTTTGTCAAATGCGTTCAAGGAAATGTCCTCGTTCGTGACATTATTGGCAGTGGCTTGGAGGGAATCAGCAGTAGCTGGGAGTTGCGTAGACGCCTTTGAGCTATTGACAACCTCTGGGTTTGAGTTGCTATTCACCAACGGCTGCCTCACCGTTCGTTCGTGTCGCGAGATTCTCCTTTTTCTGAAACCGACCGGGAGTTTGCTGCCACATGATCTTGTTGTTGACTTTGCACGTGAAGAATTGGCGGTGGCAAGCCTAGGTCGCTTGTGAGAAGGGCCCATGTCAGTGTAGGGTGCCATTTGGCGATGACGCTTGGAACAGTCGCCGAAATGCTTGCGAAGATGTCTTGATTCTGCCAAGGGTACAAAGTGTCAGAGAAAGCCCATCCAAGGCAAGGAAGGCTGATGTGGAGCTATAGTTGCTTACTGAAATATCCTGCGCGTGGATTCCCGGACATTCGGGTACCTGGTTACGGACTTGACGTTCATTTGGCAAGCTTGGTTGAGACTCAACCAAGTCAGGATCGATAACGCTCGGGTCGATATGCTGGGGATGGGTGGTAGATTCAAGAAACGCGCTTGCGCTATAGCGTGTTAGAGATGAGGTCTGGACAAAAGGTGAGCAATCTGATAACGTACCTCAACCTCTTGAGTAACCCTCCATGATTGGGTCTCTCAGTCCTATCTTCAAAGACATCCACGTCAATTGAATCTTCGTGACTGAGGCCCCTCACATATATCGTATCAACACTATCCGCATTTTTACTCTTCTTGTATTTTGTATTTCGATACTGTTGGAGATTCAATCGCCAGACAAGCTGCCATGTGATTTCCTTGATTCTACAGGTCTGTTATCTTCAAGCCTTGCTTGCACTCAATTTGGAAATGCTCACTCTTTGCCGTCAGTAGAATACTTGAGTTTGTTGGCTCGAGGGTGAGCCTCGTCGTCAGGCCAAAATAGTGGCCCGTTGCCATCGCGATCAAGAAATGCGAGAGCCATCTCCTGAAAAGCCATTCGATGCTCTCGATTATTCCAGTCGTGAAGTGTGCTGAATTCCTGACCTTGGCTCGTTACGAAGGTTTTGCGGAAGACCCGAAGACTCTCATAGAATGCCTGGCATCTCGGCAATTTAGGTTTGCCATAGTCGAGTTGCTCTCGCAACTCACCGATTGAAGGAATGGAGTTAGCATTACTGGGAGATATCATAGCGAGAATTTGATTCTTCGATTTTGAACAAAACGATGGGGAGAGGAAAGCGGAAAAGTAGAGCGTTGGGAAGGAAAGAAAAGAAGAGTGGTAGAGAAGAAGGGAGACAGGCTGAAAGTGGGAAACAGGCTGCTTTTATAAGAGCCTTGGACTCCGGCGTAGTACCCTCCATTTATCTGGGGTACCTGCATCAATCTAGGTGGCACCAGTTTCAGCCCGGGGTTATCATACCTTTAACGGCGATTTACTCGGCACGTTGATGATGCTCTTGGGGGTGGTGTCTACTCGCAACGGCCTCATTACCCTTCCTGGACTAGAACATAGGGATTGTCCGCTTTACCATGTTCTCAGCCTGCCACCGGCTTGGATCGAGAGCGAGGAGACAGTGTGGAAGGATGCCCAATCGAACAGATGGGAGATAATGCATTACATCGAAGCCGAACGTGCAGGGTCCATCGACACCGCACTGAACGAGGCATAATATCCTCTGGGAATGAAGCACATAATCTGCTGGAGGTTGCACCCGCCCCTTTTCTTCAATGCTCTTGGAAATAGAGCAGCACTCCCCACGGAAACTTTGTTTAAAGCAGAATCGGTCGAGTAGGTTAATTGACAAAAACAGGTTTTAAGGAAGCAAACCAAACATAGCATGGGCCACTTCGAGAAATCAAACAGTGCTCGGTCTCATTTCCTTTCTCTCGGCCGAGATATGGCTCATGTCAGACGTCGTTACAGACTTGGTGATGAGTTTCCGCGCAGGCTCAAAATAGCCTGACGGAGGTGTCCGGGTTCGGGCGGGCACCTGACAATACGATGATCTTATCGAACCGGAAGTACTGGGTATTGGCGGTAGTCTCATCAATTGCAAAGAGGGAGAGCCGATGTCTCTTTCCGTTGCACCGAGAGATTTGTCTCAATATTTTCTCCGTAGCTCCTTCCTCCTTCTCTTCTACATCTCAATTTCACTGTCGCTCACTTTTTGGCGTCGCTCAAGATCAGCAAACGCGGAGGCCACGAGACCTGCGTCACAGGGACCACTGCTATCCCGACACAACACTTAATTCACAGAGATCGTTACTAGCTTGACCAAGGCCGCAGCTTCATCACCTTCTGACTTGTCTAGCAACGCCTCTTCGTTGCTTCCGAGCATTCAGCTGGCTCCTAGTTCCCAGGGGTAATGAGGAGCCCAGCCTCCTACTTTTCCATCTTACGTTCTTGACCAACGCATCACAGGCCCATCAAAGTCACTGAAGCATTCTATCGACCACAAGGACGCAGGCGATGTCGTGACGAAACGCCCCAGAACCCAGGCGATCCCCATTGACTATACCGGCGATCATCAAGGACGCGCCTTGGCGGATTACCTGATGCTAAGCGACCTATCCCAAACATCCATATCCATCAAGGACGACCCGCTGCTGTATGCGCAATTCGAGATTCAAGATCTTACGACGCCGCCGGAAGCGTACAGCGATCTGATGCAGTTACTCCTCAGCAACACGGCAAGCGAATTCCGACCCGTCTACACCACGGAGCGGCTTGCTATCAAGTATAGCCGGCATGGGCTGAACAGCGTCCTTGACGACAATTTTGACTTTCAAGCTTCTCAGTACTCCATAATGGCTACCCTTTCCTCCAGCGTCGACTTGTGGGAGGACCCTGTGCGGTATGAAGACGGGTTCCGCATCGTAACATATCATATGCTTTTCCATGCCGCAAAAAGTATCATCAACGTTTCTGATGCCTGCGGTCTGCTCATCAACTGGAAGCTACTAGACTTCACTGCGACTCGGAGGCCGGCAGAGCCCCTGCGGTCGGCGGCAGCGACCAAGAAAACGACGCGCCCATGTCGCCCTCTCTTACATAGACCCCAGCTGGCGACTCCGCAATCCAAGGACTTGAGCGACGTCTACGTTTGGAAGAATTGACGCCAGCAGTCCCCTTCGATCTATTTCCGACAGTAGGGAGCCAGTACGAGAAGGACGATAAGATTGTCTTCATCGGCGGTCGCGCCATTCTAGACACCTCTGACGAGGCCGCCAAGTCAGTCGAAACCGACTCCCCAGTGACCGATGCGAATACCACCGACAGTAGCTCTAGTGACGAGTACGATAAAGTCAAGCCCAAAGATATCATGGTGTCATAGGATGAGAACCAGGATGGGAACTCGGATGGCGTTGAAGACCTCTTGGAGACAAGGGACAAGACCACCGACCGACACGAAGCATGCCCACGATCCGAGAAGAGACACGAAGAGACACGATAGGTCCGTCGGACTGCTACAAACTTGTTGGAAGCAAGGGTGTCGGCAAGATGATTACGTACCAGACCGTTATCGCTGCGTCGACTCGCCATCATCAACTTCGCGCAATGGGCTCTGCCTGTCTGAGTGTTGCCCGATATATCAATCTCGACTCATTTGCGTCGTTTTGGCGGATACTTAAAATCGACAGCGGCCTAGTTTTCACTCGAATTCCATTCTTTCGCATTGGCGTAGCTGAATCTTGACGATGAATGAGAATGCTTTCCCGAGCTTGCTGGTTGATAGCAGCTGCGCCATCCCCACCACGATTGGGACTTCCGGCCTACTCGCGACTAATGTGGTAAACTTGGCCCCTCTGAACGGGTAACAGTAAACGGGGGGCAAGCCGCCTGTCGTGAAGGCTTCTGGCTATGAACCATTTTCGGATGAGCTGACTGACTACAGTAAGCTCGGCAGGTGAGATGCCGTTTTGGAATGTGCAGAGGATAACTTTTGCCTGTTCAACGTCGAGACGCCTCGCGCCTGACAAGTGCTGCATGAGCAAGCCGTCAATTATACAACGTCCCTGTTCTTCGAAATTCCTGTGAATGCTGTCGCATGGCCAGGAGTGAATGGCGACTTTCCGAAGAGGTTGACTTATCAATAGCGCCCCTTCCGGAATATACACTCAGCTTGCGTTGCAGTGTGATGAGATGCGTAGGATTTTTGAACGTCTTGATCAGGGTGTCACACTGCGGGAATTTTCCGAGACTTGAAACGAATGGACGGGTTTCGCCGTACGATTGCGAGACTGGATTCCTAGAGCCGGCCTCCATCTAGATGTAGAGCTCACCGGTGCTACCAAAACAACGGTCACACAACATATCTAGTACTAACTTTTCGCAAGCCATAATATAAAACCACGAAACCAGGCGTAAGAGATGTTGCTATATCCCGACACCGCAACATATGCGGATCTGCTTGAACCCAGAAAACCGTAGCTCTCCAACAGACTCCCCACTAACATGTGAACCAGTGTTTTGAGTTTGTCTCCTAGCCCAAGAGATGAACCATGTGTTTCTTCTACCTAGCAGGCTTAACACGCCCTTAAACAGATACCATAGGGCTGACGTAGAAGGCCAGGGCGATGATAAGGTAGAGGCCGAGCAGCAAAGCTCCCTCCAAGTAGTTGGACTTGCCGTCCTGCACAGTGTACACAACCACGAGCACAGACAACGCGAAGGTGAAAGTCGAAAAGATATCAAAATGGAGAGTCATAGGCTCGTCGAATACGGCCCATGCGAGGATCACGAAAAAGGGAGTGACGAGAAGGGCGATCTGGTTGCTGGAACCGATGGCAATCTGTAAGGCGAGGTCCATGTTGTTTCGGGTGGCCATGACGATGGCGGTGAGGTGTTCTGCCGCGTTACCGATGATGGGAATGATGATAAGTCCAATAAATTTCTTGCTGAGACCAGCGGTCTCGACAGTTGGCTCGATGCTCTCCACGAGGTTGTTGGCACAGATTGCCACCAAAACGGTGGTAATCATCAGCATGATGACGGCGGCCTTAGGGCCTATCTCGGCTTCCTCGGCATCGGATGACTCGATGTCGGGTTTGAATAAATTGGGATGGGTGTACAGCAGGAAGAGCAGATAGAGGGCGTAGAAAATCAGGGGGATGATCGCTGTACCGCGGGATAGGACGAGAATGCTGTGCTCTTTCTCGAAACTATCGACGTTACCCAGTAAAGAAAAGAGCTGTCACCCGTCGTCAGTCGATGAGCAGCAGTGAGAGTGCGGGGGAGCTTTTTACCGTCGCAGGAATCAGGAGAGACGCCGAGGAAAGAACTATCAGGGAGCAGGATTTCTCCGCCGTTGCAGAGGCAAAGGTCTGCTCCATGCCCTGGCCAGTTTCTTTGTTGTACATATTGACAATGCCTCCAAAGAGGAAGCACGCCCCCAAGACGAGAAGAAAATTGAGGAGAATGGAACCAAGCATGGACATCTGGACAACGTCGATATAGCCATTCTCCAGGGCAACGATATCGACGGCAACTTCGACTGCATTTCCGAAAGTGGCGTTGAGCAATCCACCTAGCACTTGACCGCACCTCTTCGAGATTTGATTGAAAACGGTAGTAGGGTTCCAGTGAAGTTTCCAGGCGATGAAGCTAGGGGGCACCATAACAAGAAGGAAATTGAACTGGGCTGTGGCAAGAGTAAGTGGTGAGAGGCTAGGGCGCAGTGTCGGAGATCTCGTCAGAATGCGGCTGAATGCCTGACTTACAACTCAAGAGCGACGCCCCAATAACGTGCCAGGCTTGGGACAAGTACCCGACGACGATACCAGAGCCATCTGCGAATTCAAGAGGGGACGGCCATATGATACAAGCAGCGGTGAGTTCTCGGCACCACCACCACATCCGTTGAAGTTAGATTCCCACTCGTCTCACAGTACGTCATTATGTTGGCCGACGGGATTGGTAGACATTGCTACTAACCAGCCAAAAGCTTATGAAACCAGGTGAAGGAATGACTTTTGTTGTCGGGGGCTTCCTGCGCCTAGCTCAAGGTTAAGTAGGTAGTGATTGGTGTCGGCCAAGGACATTGCACGGCTTGATGGGACAAAGCGCCTTGATATAAAGCAACGCAGAACAGAAGAAAGCCTAGCACCCCGCGTGCCAAGCGAAATGTTTTCCGGCAACTTCGCATGTATGACAAGGGGGAAACGGCCAATTGGGCACTGCTAAGGCCGTACTAGGCAGACTTCAGGCAGCAGCAGAGGAGGCAGAGGTTTGAGAGACCGGTCTGGATGAGTCGGGCGGCAAAGCCTTCAGTGGTCGATTATTTGCTGGCGCGGACCATTTTGGAGCATCCACTCGCACACGAGCAATCAATATCCCACAACCCTCCACTGACAGATCGACGCCTCGGGGCCAGCCTAGCGGCATTGGTAAGATTGGACTTGAGATGTCGAGATTTTGCAAGTTAGACGCCTGTAAGAAACAAGGTGGAGTCGGGGTGGTCGTGGTCGACCTTCCAATGTAGGGATCGGGCGGTGATTCTCAGCCGGTGCGGCGGCCGCGTCGCTGGAGGGTTGTTAGCCCCGTTCCATGGCTTCGACTTTGGCAAGTGTTGCGCTTGGATCAGGGTATCGACCCGTCGCTACGCGGGAGCAAAGCGCCACTTGCCTGGATGCAAGGGAACTGCTGAAATCTGACCCTCTGCTTTCTGGCTAGGAACGCGCAGCATCGGATGGGAACTTCGGAGCTCCTATGCTGATATTTCATCACCTTCTCTTCTCGTCTCCAGCCCGCTCTCCGCCTTCCTTTCCAGGCCAATTCGTTGTCGCTAACCGTTTGTATTCCGCTTGAAAGCGTAAGTCCTTTCAATACGGTTATTAATATGGATGATACTCGTTAGACTGCAGAGCAAGATGAGCAACGTCTGCCTCTAGCGCTCAAGTCACCGAAGTCTTCAGAAGCGTCACGCGTCAAGCTCCTCCCAACGTCTCTACCATCAACAGTATCTTAACCAATGCATGGTCTCTTCAGGGACAAATGGCCTCTCAAACCAGTTTCTAGAAGGCGAAATATCACGGAGCATATGGGACACCAAGGACGGTGGTTGAAAGATTTCTGGAAGGTCCAACTGAAACTTCAGGGATAGTTTGGATCACAGTTTCGCGTTTCATGTCGTCGAAATTCTCCGATGTCTAGGTGGTAAGTTGCAGTTACCGAGCTGCTAAGCGTCCCGGCTGTCTCCCGGCTTAACCCTGCTGATTCATCTAATTGTCCATCACCCCATTTCGCCAATATCTCGCTATTCGAATACAAGCAAAAAGAGAGGATCCCCTCGAAACGTTAGTGGTGGGCTTTTCCCCTTTGTCCCAGCCGGTTGCCCCTTTTACCATGTGGTTCAATGTCTTCTAGTGTTTCTTAAGAAGTCACGCAGCGAAAATTGCATGGCCAACGTCAATCGCTCATGTGGTAGAGACCCGGAGCGTCTTGCTGCTGGTCCTGTTCATTTTCTCTCATTCTGATAGCGGATTCGTCTTCTTTCTGTACATTTTTTAAACCCTCTTATTCTTCCCCTTTCCCTCATTAGCGCCAGCAAAGGTATGAGCTCCGGTCTGGTCCCGCGTGGCGGGACGCGCGACGAGCAAGACATTATGCTCGGCGTCAGATCATCGTCGGAGACTGACGTGGAGGACCGCCTGCTTCCCGGCTCAGCCGACTACGGCGAGAAGCGTCAATACAAACGCCATGCGGGTCGTAAGAAGACGTTCCGATGGATCATGGCCACCATTTGCGTATCTATCCTGACACTCATTCCCTTCATTTTTGCCCAATTCTTCAACGTGCAGGCCAAGGATGGGCTGGCGGAACCCGCACACGATGAGGACAACCATGAAGAAAGTCCGCCGCCGCCATCACCGGCGGACCAAGTGCCGGAACTGACGACGACGATAACGCCAACATCGACTTCTTCCCTTGTCCCCACTCAAATACCACAAGTGAAGTTGACGTCAGACCAGCGATTTAACTTGCAGACGGGATTCAAGGTGTCGAATGTGACGTTGCTGCGGGAATATGTGTTCAACATCACGCGGCAGCAGCATTCACCCGACGGCTACGAGAAGTCAATGATCCTCGTCAACAGACAGTCACCCGGCCCTCTCATGGAGGCAAACACAGGAAACACCATCCGTGTCACGTTGCACAACCAGATGCTGCAAGAAAGTACCATGATCCACTGGCACGGCATTGACCAGAGTAAATCGGTTTGGATGGATGGTGTCTTTGGCATCAGCCAATGCGCCATTCCTGCCAGCGAAAGCTTCACATACGAGTTCAACTATTTTGGACCAGCGGGGAACTTTCTTGTGGCACGCTGATGTTTCTATTCGAGTCATCGACGGGCTCTTTGGGCCACTGGTGAGAGTCTTCTCACACCGACTCATGAGACTTCGCTGGTCCAGCATGGACCTGTGAGACAGCTTGACGATGCTAAGTTGCCCTCTCTCATTGCAGATTATCCATGACCCGGATGGAAAGATCCCCCTTGTTGGTGATGACAAAATCATCATGGTTGGAGATGTCTTTCATGAGTACGGAGGCACTGTAAGTTCACTTGTTACCCATATTCTCACGCGGTGCTCACGAATCTTGAGCTCCTTACTCAGTATCCGAGCGCCAATCCACCGTGGGCTTCAAAGAGGCCCGCCAGGGAGCCTCCCCCTGACAATGTAATCATCAATGGCAGGAACACGTTCAACAACCCCAGCATCGAAGGCGGTGATGCAAGCAAGGCCGAATTCGGCGAGGACCACAGCAGCCACAACATGGAGAACATGGGAAGCCCCAACACCCCCAGAGATGGCCCTCCCCCCAAGTGCACATGGGGCTCACTCTTCAACAAACGGGTCAAGAGCGGATCCACCCCTCGCCTGCGTCTCATTAACCACGGCGCATCGGAGCCCGTCCTTGTGACGGTTGACAATTGCCCTCTGCAAATCGTCGAGATCGACGGTGTCGAGATCGCTCCCATCGCCACATCTCGAGTGTACATGAACCCCGGTCAGCGCCAGTCCGCCCTCGTGATTGCCAACCAGACGGCCGGAAACTATGTCATTCGTGCCGACGCCGCGGTTCGATGCTTCCACATGTCCCACAAGAACCATAACTCGGGAATGATGCACGCCACGCCTTTCGGGGCCGCCGCGATCCTGTCATATGACGAGGCGGACGTGGGCGTTCCGCCGATTGGCAAGGCGTGGGACCTGAGCAGCAGCTCGAACCCCGGCATCGGCAAGGAGCCGTGGGGAGACCGGTGCGAGGATCTGCCGCACAACCTCCCGAAGCCAGTCGGAAGCAGACCAGCCTACGACGTTGGTTACAGGAACTACCATTACTTCGCGTTCAAGCAAGAACGTGTCAGTGAAGTCGTCCGTACACACGTCATTGATGTGAGTGGAAGACATTTTCGGCCGACCTGCTGAAGAATAGATTGCTGACAAGCGAGCAGACTCTGTACACACCTCTAACGGACGACGCTTCGCTGTGAAAGTCATGCAGGGGGGCATTACGCCCGAGAATCTGAACTCGCCTCAATCGAAACTGGACTTTGTAAAGGATCAGTTCGTCTTGGTGTCTAGGGATGACAAAGCTGCGCAAATCGTGGTGAACTCTGACGCTATGATGGTTCGTCCGTGGTATGAACAGTAAATCGTCTGTACTATCCTCTGACTCTCAACTCGTTACTGGCCGATTTTTCAGTGGTATGTAGTGATGCACACGAATCTTTTCTCTCTACTCGGTAGTGCTAAACCTGTAATTAGGCCAGAATTTCCCAAGTCATTGGCTGGGGCAACGGCCTCTTCAGAGCCAGCGAGACTACGTGGAACTTTGACAACCCCATACGGCGTGGCACTATTACAATGCCAGGATACTCACATCTACTGATCCGCATAAAAAAAGACAACCCTGGTGTTTGGGCGTTTCATTGCCATTATCTTTGGCACGCTCATGATTAGTCTTTTCCCTTTCCGAGGGCCTAGACGTCGCACTAATACCCCCTTGCCACAGCTGGCATGTTCATCTCCATAGCTCAGTGAATGGGTGAGCTCGCGACTATGCTGGGCACGTTGGACGGCACCGGCGATGCTGGTGCCAGAAAGAAGGAATTCTGCCCCGTGACAAAGGCACAGACCGGCGCCCCTCTCGCACAGCCCGTCCAGACCGGGGCACCCAAGCCGCCGCGGTCGCTTTGATGCTTGTAGGCTAGATCAGTTGTGACAGTAGCTCTTGGTGTAGAGGTGAACATATTTGAGAACTCACTGTTCATATACTCTATGCATTAAACTTGATACACTTAGTATCAAGCAAACAGCGTTTTGGAAAGGCCATCATTTAGCATGACAATGGCATTGCCAATCCAAGATAGCTTCATCTTACCCGCCCCTATCTTGCCGTTCTTGGGCCACAGACTGATACTTAGAGCCACATTCTGTTTTGATGTTTATGGCCAATCAGTCATCGTTCCGTGAACTCCTTCAAATCGTAATTCCAGAAGAGGAAGGCAACCCAGAGTGAGCGCTTTCCAAATTATCTGCTTTGATGACACTTGGTTAGCTAGAAAGCTTGCTACCGGAAGAAGTCGACCTGAACTCTACCAGATTAAAGACATGAGATTAGTCGCCGCTAGTGAAGTTCTGCGTGTGTCGTTGAATCAGCCATGACGCAAAGGACTCCCCCGCATCTCATAATCACGGGATGTCGATGGAACTTTTGCATTACTACAGACTTGAAGCGCCAGCTCGTCCAGGTCGTCTAGAGCTCTGTCGTCTTGTACCAAATACCTAGCGTTGGGGATGACAATGAGCCGGTTTCTGCCGAACGCTACTTGGCAATTTCCCAGTTGGGGGGAAGTCCAAACTTAACAACGTTATGCTAACTTTCTGGGTCAAGTAGCGCCAATCTTGAAAGACTCGGCAACGTCGGATGAACATTAGTTTTCGAGGATTGAGGTTGCTAGGCACTCTGTTAGAGTGTTGATGGACTGCCGTCCGTTGCGGAGCCTCTGGCCAATTAAAACGACAACGAGCCCGTGGTATACGATGTCAAGCCTTTTTATCCCCGTCCCTAAGGTCTCAAAGGGTAGGTGGCTCCGGGATACAAGTGCAGAAGAACGGTGTTCCATGGACCGGTCACTGCATGTCGGCTTCGCTTATTTGCGAGATCGTCAGGTACGAGAAGTTTGCTGCTGGCTAGATCCCGTCGATATGGTGCCACCGCACCGTCCCTTTAGCCCCTGATATAGGACGTATTGAACCGCGTGGACAACTGTGAGGGGATATTGTGACATTGAGGTATATAGAGCCGTCCGCTCGGTCTGCGCAACAGGTGGTAAGCATGCGGTCCTTAGCGCTAAAGACCTTCATCAAACACCATCTTGAGCTGACGACACCGTAGATATGGCGAAGACTTGTCTCACACTCCTCCTGGGCTTCCTCCTCGCGTGGGCAGCCAACGGTACTAAGCTCCGCAAGACATACATAGTTCAGCTGAAGGATACACAGGCCTCTGGTGCTCAGCGCGGAGATCAGTTCGACGCTTCCCTGGCGTCCGTCTCCGCCAGTCCCGCTGACACGCTCTATCATTACCAGAACGTGACGAACGGATACGCCGCCAAGATCACAGACGACCAAGCTAACGCACTGAGAAACCAGGATGACGTCTTATCCGTCACCCTCGATCAGGTCTACGTCCTGCACACCACCAGGACACCGGCCTTCTTGGGTCTCGACGACGCCTCGCTCCTCGGTCGCGGGCTCGACCTCGACCCGAGCAGCTATCTCGACGAGAGGGGCGACAGCGGGATCCATCCCGAGTCAAACCTCATCGTTGGCGTGGTGGACACGGGCGTCCGGCCCGAGAATCCCAGCTTCAAGGATGATGGCATGCCACCCATCCCTGCCCACTGGAAGGGCAAGTGCGAAGCCACCGACGACTTCCCGGCCACCAGCTGCAATAAAAAGCTCATCGGCGCGAGGGCCTTTTACAAGGGCTACGAGGCCGCCCTCTCCGATGACAACGGCCTCTTCAACTGGACCGGAGAGTCTAAGTCCCCCAGGGACGACGATGGACACGGCTCGCACACCTCGTCCACCGCAGCCGGAGCCGCCGTGCCGAACGCCAGCCTCTTTGGCCAGGCCTCCGGCACGGCTCGTGGCATGGCCGTGCACGCCCGCCTAGCCATGTACAAGGCCTGCTGGAGTAAGGGTTGCGTGTTGTCTGATGTCCTCGCGGGCATGGACAAGGCAATCTCGGACGGTGTCAACGTCATGTCCCTTTCTCTTGGCTCGAATTCGACAGCCTCAATCGATCCCATTTCAGTCGGTTCATTCGCCGCCGTCCAAAAGGGAATCTTTGTCGCCCAGTCTGCCGGCAATGAAGGCCCGGCAGCAGCCAGCGTAGTCAGCATCGTAAGCATCCATCGCTCTCTGTCCTCTCCTCCCCCTTCCTCTTTGCTGCCGTGAAGCTCAAGCACATCCGTAGGACCCCTGGACTCTGACCGTCGCCGCGAGCACGCTCGACCGTGATTTCCCTGCTCAAATCATCCTCGGCAACGATAAGAACTACACCGGCACCTCCCTCTACAGCAACGGTTCCGTGACCGACATCAAGCCCCTCACCGCCGGCGAGGTTCTCCCCCTCATCCAAGCTAGTCAGGCGGGCTCGGGCAATGTCACCAGCGCGAACTTGTGCCTGGAGGGCAGCCTCGACCCCGCTAAGGTCGTCGGCAAGGTCGTCATCTGCGTGCGTGGAGAAAACGCCAGAGTCGACAAGGGCGGGGTAGTCAAGACCGCAGGCGGGCGCGGCATGATTCTCGTGAACGCCCCTGTAAACGGTAACGAGCTTATTGCCGATGCGCATATTCTGCCTGCCCTGCACCTCACCGCCGCAGATGGAGACGCGGTCTCGGCTTACGCCAAAACCGGCAAGGGCACGGTGATTTTGGACTTTGAGGGTACTAGGCTCGGCATTCCGGCGCCGGTGATGGCTTCTTTCAGCTCGCGCGGCCCGAACTCTGTCCTCCCGCAGATCCTCAAGCCGGATATCACGGTACGCGAAGAAATTTCCAGAAGATGAGGGAGGCTGTGTGAGGTTTTCAATGATCTAACGCATCAACAGGGACCCGGAGTTTCCATTCTGGCAGCCTGGTCCGATCAGGGACCTACTGGCCTTGATATAGACACCCGCAAGGTTGACCAGAATGTCATCTCTGGCACCAGCATGTCATGCCCTCACCTGAGCGGTATCGCAATCTGGATCATGGCCCGCCGTCCGGGATGGAGTCCAGCCGCCATCCGCTCGGCCATCATGACAACCGCCTACACGACCACCAAGGGCACCAAGTCGCCCCTCCTGGACTCCCGCGACGATACCCCCGCCACTCCTTTCGTCTACGGAAGCGGCCACGTGGATCCCGTAGCCGCCCTCAACCCGGGCCTCGTCTACGACATCGCCCCCGCCGACTACCTCGACTCCCTCTGCGCCATCAACCCAAACCCCCGCTTCTTGCATAAATTCGTGAAGCACAACTTCACCTGCGCGTCCAACCAGACGTACAGCCTCTACAACCTCAATTATCCGTCCTTCTCTGCCGCCTACGGCATCGGCGCCGACCCCGCCTCGGATGGGTCCTTCACCGCCACCTTCAAGCGCACTTTGACGAACGTCGGGGGTGCTGGCACGTACAAGGCCCAAATCTCGCTCAATGACGCCGGCTTGGTCCAAGTCTCTGTGAAACCTGAGACTCTCACTTTTGAGACGGCCGGGGAAAAGAAGACGTTCGAGCTGACGGTCAAGATGAGCCCCCCGCCCCCCAACCCTTTGTCCTGGGGCCGACTCGTGTGGTCTGACGGAACCCACGTTGTTGGCAGCACCTTGTCGTTTGTGTGGGGCATTCCGAATTCAGATGGCACCTAGTATTTCGACTGAGAGTTATGCGACATGTCGTCTCGCTGTCGCAGAATTTCCGTCAAAGCCTCGTCAAACTTCATTGTCTATATGTTTTCTTGAATCTGGAGGAAGCCGTGGTCTGGGGTGTCGGTTGTCATTTCATGGTTGCCTTTGGGCCTTGGGGGAGAAGCGGATAAAATTGCCCATGGGGCTTACTAAGGCCGCATTAAGGCAACATGCCTGCTTCTAAACTCAATTGAAATTATCAATCCGAAACCGAAACTCTCTCGATGTCGACGTAACCTGACTATCAACATTTTGATTTCCCATCCTTTATGCCACGGACTTCCGCAAACTCATGAGGCACATGACTCAACATATCACGTATCTTACCCTGGCTAGATACAGCGTGGCCGTGTTTCTTGATTGGGTCAGCACTAGACAATGTAAGCCTTGGCGCTAGCGAGATTCGAAGGATCCAACTTCACCGTTCTGAAGGATGTCAACAGGGTAAAGGATTGGCGGGATCAGCCTGAACCAAATGATGGATGGGGTAGAGCAACGAACCGTTCAAGGGTACGACGGACGAGACTGGCCACCCGATACGAGCACCGACTTACACGCTAAATGCTCGTGGTTTGCAAACCCTGCATCAGCTCACTGGTGATGCAATCGCAACCAATGGAAAGGTCCTGCCTTACTCACTGTTTTTATATCGTGGCCAAGTTGTGCGGGAATATAGGAGGAAGAATCAAAAACGATTTATTTAACACTAAACTGCTAGGTACTTTCAGCTAATGGCGCCAGAGGCTCTCTCAAGTCTCGATTTGAAATTGCATCTCTGTTCAAACCCGCAAAACTCGCTTCTTGTCTACTCATAATCACTCCTTTAATCAAGTTTTCTTGCCGCGGACAATCGGAAAGGTTGTCTTGGTGAACTTTAACAACCCATTCCGGGTAACCCTGGCCCCGATCCCCCCCGTTTCCCCCACGATGCGGCCGTGCCGCAGCTCGGTGACATATCATGTCAATGACGATCGCCCCCTTTGGACAACTCGAGATGCGTGGAAATTTTTATATTCACTCTCCGAAAGACGACATTCCCACGCTTTGTGTTTATCTGAGCTTTTGTTCGCCCAACGGCATGTCACTTTCCCTCTTGAAGATGATGTCTCCTCCAGCGAATCGGCCATGCACTTCTCTCTCAGCTGCCCGCTCCAGCTGCTGATTCTGTGGCACCTCGCATGCTTCAGCCCCGCGGCGACGACACCCCCGACCGCTGTCGAAGGTCGAAGTCGACCTCGTCTTCCCGCGCAATGCCAGCACCTATAAGCCCATTTGGCCCTTCAACTTCCTCTTCGGCGTCCGCAACGCCTCGCAGCACTGGCCGGACAACGAGAATTACTACAGCTTTTGGGCCAAGTGAGACCTCACGGGGTACCCCACATCAAAGACGCCGACACGGGGCAAGCTCTTCGGCTCGGGCGTCTGGCAGACCGAGGCCAAGAACAAGATCTCGGACACGTACACCATCATCGACGCCTCGAGCTGGGACCTGGTAAACACGACGCAGCGGGCGTTCCGCCTGCGGTACACAGCGACCATGTTCAGCGCCTGTTCTAAAAACACCACTGGTAAGGCTAAGATATATCATCCTAGACTGTTGGAGTTTGGAGTTGTTAACACATGAGAGTAGCTTCTCGTCGGTGTCAAAGTACTGTTACTTTTGTAGTGCTTTAGCGGATTGGATTATTTTCATCAATTACATAGGTTTACATTCATCATTTTTTTCAAGGATAGCTACGACCTATACTCAAAGACTTCTTAAGCCCCTGTCGAGTTGAAGTTTCTCAAATGACACCCTACAAGCTCCTCATGCATCATCTCTTCAAGTATACACACGAGAGGCGTTGGCCACAGAGTAAGGTAAGAAACTTAAGGCTAGAATTTTCATGAAGTACCTTACGGAAATATCTCGCTCTAAACAACTACACACATAGACCGTTGGATTTCATGGTCTTGTTAGTAAAGATGACATTTACTTCCAGCTGATCTGGTATGGTCCTCAATCACTTTTTAAGTCCATCTAGTTGATCTTGAAGAGTCGCAGTAGCGGCTGAAAGCAAGACAATGCCCGGACTTTGCCTTGCCTTTACATCAATTTGGGAGAACAGACGAGTTCATGTTGTGTCAACTCAAACTCGTTCCCTAAGGATAGCCCGATATGTCTCAGCTATTTGTGATCAGTCTGTCGAGCAGAGTCGTGATATCGGCCCCCGGCAGGCTTATTGGCAGTTTCAGCGTTGTTTCTGGGCTGAGAATAGTCGTCAGCGTGCTGGGGGCTTCTCAGTAAATTAGTGGCATTATGGAGTGTTAAATAACTCGGTACAATAATTGGATTTTATCTTGTATTTGTTGGTTTTAAACACGTTTTAGGACTTTTGATTCTTTGGAAGCTTGTGCGAGGTCACGGCGGCGTTCTAGTGGCCTTTTTAAGCCCCTGTACAACCCGGACAAGACATGTTTTATAGGGTCAGCAAAATATCCGTTGGGGTCGTAGTATTCTAACGAGAAGGAAAGAGAGGAGGAAAAGGAGTAGGGGCATTAAAGGCAGGAAGGTTGATCGTAAGTAGTGCAGCTCATCACTTCGTCCACCTCCAGTTATCTTCCCCAACGAAACCAAAGGATACAAACCTCTCCAATCCTTCTATGTACTGAAGTATAACCCTTCCCTCGCCTTTGGGGTTTTTTCCCTTTGTCTTCAAGTTAGGATTCTTCGGCATACTACTGGGCACAGCGTCAACCACTCGTCATGTGTGAAAACCTTCACTTCCACCGCAGGGTTCTGCGACAAGTTCTGCAAGCCGAACCCTTTCTAATTACAATAACAAATGCCTCTTTACTCTAAATTGATTAAAAGTAGCCCAGAAAAACATTTCAACCGCCATCAACAATGCGATGGCCACTCGTGTCATGTAAAACGATGCCGTCACCGCGGTAGGCAATCCAACTTGCGTGCGTACTATCGGACATAGGCATGGCAATAGTTCCCATTACGACAAGCTCATCCGACGATGGCCTCCACTCAACACCTTCTTGATCATCGGCACTCCTTTCAGCGCCAATGCGTATTGATGGGGTGTCCTGCAGCCCATTGCGATGGTCGTTGATGGGGAGTGGGTGAACAAGCGGATTGATGTGTAACTGATGTTGCGAATAGAACAAACAGTCTAACAGATGCAGGCGACTTCAAACTAAAGCTAGGTCGTGAGCGCACAATTTTGTACTATAAGCTTGGAAGAGTCAGTAACGGTTCCCTTATTTGCACCGCCGGAGAGAAGTCAAGAACCTCCATCTTGCCGGCATACACTGTCCTGTAAGTCGCTTCCTTTTTCCAACAAACTTCGATTCTCTTAAAATGCCCATACCAACTTACTCTACTATCGGTCACACTGTATGCAAACTTTGGCGGATCGTGACTGGGGAAAGGCCAGCTCTCACAACCAGATGTGAATGCTCTCAGGTACACACCCAGAGCCTACAACTAGATCCTGGTACAGGTCATCACAGCAGCTTTGGGCTGCATAATTGAGGATGTGTGCCCAAAACAAAGCAATATGCGCATAACTGTAGTGCTACGGGTGGGATAATGACACCAAGTCGAAGGGCATTGGTACCGACAATGCTCTGATCGCCCATTCGACTAGCGTCATTTTCAGTGAGCTTGAGTGATAGAGCAGGTTGGAAACGGCAACATGATCCGGATGTTCCTTGCTGGGCTTGGGATGAAGCCTTGAAAACAAGCGTTCCTTCGCACCGTGGCACCTAGTATCTCCAGATGCCCTTGTTCCTAATGCTGTTGACTATGGGCATGCAAGTTTGCTAATCTCTCATAGTGGTGCGCGGCAACGGCGAGACGACGCACATGAACGGTCAGCTGCAGGAGCCGATGAACGTCACCGATATCAACGCGACATTTGCAAATGGGAGGAAGCATGCTCTTTGACTATTGTTTGACAACCCGCGCCACTTTGTTGCACTGATCAACAAGAAAGGCACCGAGGAAGACCTTCTCTTGATTCAAGGACGCAAACCCATCCAGCCAACAGCGATTGTCGTGGGTGATGGGAATAATCGAGTCCCATCCCTCAGTGGGATGTGTGTTTTGTGTCTGCTCATCATCGTTGGTTCGTGCATGTGATTGAACGAAGTTGTGAATGCAACAATTGAGTAAATGCTGGCCTTCAATTCCTACGCAGCCGGTGGCTGTGATCATTCCGGGGGGTGGCAGGACTGGGGATACTTTATGAAATAACATTAGGGATGCCCAACGAGCTTCCTGACGCATACGGTATACGTGAATTCCTTTGTAACAATGTTTCGAAGAAACGTTGAGCTTGCCCCGGTAGAGTGGGATGTTTTTAGTGAGGATCATGTATTTGCGCTGTTAGGTCCAAGCTCCTCATCAACAGCAGGAGCCCTACACGGCCTAACCTCCGACGCCATCCGTGAACCGTAATTCACGGATGGATCCCAACGGGCTGAGTTCAACGCGAAGCCTTAATCTAGAAACGTCTTCTCCATGTACTATGTCTACTGTTCCTTGCGTTGCCAGCTCCTCTCCTGGCCGGCTCTTTTCGGATTCTCATAAGGTCGCTTGTGTCGTACTCACAGCGCATGGAGTTCAGGTCTCAGACCGAAGCTTGTCGCAGCCTGTAGCAGTTGATGCCAGACCTCTCCGATATGGATTCCCCGTTCGTCTCATTTACGGCTTTACCGCAGCCGTTATATTCTCGCTTGTGATGTATTTGACTGCTTTTGTATTAACCGCCGCAGGGTCGATTTCAGGTTTTGCGACTTCCGCATTTCATCTGATTCGAGGTCCTCGCGTTGTTCCCGCTCCCCGCCCGAGTTCACTTGAGCGTTATCGGGATCCACCTCTCCTTTCTTGCCCATACCGCCCTCGAGAAGCTCGCTGCCTTCCATGACGATGTGGACCTCAAGATCCTCGCCCATAGAGTAGACGCGAACGCCCACAATGCAAGTAGCGTTCCAAGGATCTGGAAGACCCTCTTCCTCAGATTCATAGTGCTCATCATGTCTTTTTGGTGGTCCCTGAGGAGTGAGGCGCGGCTTTCCTACCATGTCATCATCAATGTACAACTCTTCCCAGTCTTCGATGGGCGAGTCGCATGAATCGCCATCGGAATCGTCAATCTTCGGTGTTGAAATAGGGACGGGTATGGCTGCGGCCTTGTCATCATCGGCAACCCTCTTGCTTTCGCCCTTAGAGTCATCCTCCGAGTCGTCCTAAGATCTCTCCTTAGGTTCCCCCTTGGGTTCCTCCTTCGGATCCCCTTTCAACATGTCTGTGCCTTCTGACTTGGAGTCGCCATCAGCATCACCCTCAGACTTGTCATCAGACGCCGTCTTCGTCTCCTCGCCGTTCCCAGTAGAAGAGCTGTCGAGGTTAGGCTCGCTACCACTCGACTCGTCCTTGGCCTTGGCTATGTCCGCCTTCTTAGCGAGCTTGCGATCGCGCTTATAGTTATTCTTCTTGGTCTGCTGCTTGGTGACTTCGCGGTTGATGTGTTGTCGCTTCCAGAGCTTGTGACGCTCCTTTTGACGAGACTCAGGCTCTTTGCTGCTCCTTGATCTTTCGTAGCCTGGCGACCTTTTGGAAATGGGCAGTGCCTTGAATATGCGCTAAGTCGTATACAGCACCAATTTGTGTCAGCTTCTCGTTCTCGACGCACTTCTTGCACTCGCGCTTAACCACATCTTCGACAGAGGAGATGCTAGTGTCTCTCTCACCAGTGACGCTCATGAAGATGCTGTACCCGGCTGGCATGTCGGGCAGCTCGATGGAGACGGACCGGTCCATGAGATGATTGCCGTGAGAGCGAACTATAAAGTCCTCGGCACCGTGGCGGTCCCGCTCGTGGATACGGAAGTGCATGTAGAAAGAGTACTGGCCCTGAAGTCCTTTGAAGTATCATGTGTCGAGTTGAGTAAGAAGTAGAACCAGCGGCTCACCCTTGGATAATTTGACCTGGAACTTCTCGTTGAACTGCAACTTCCAGGGTACCTCAACCCCGATCCATCGTTGAGCGCACCTCCAAGCGGGGCCACGGAAAAGCCTGGTTTTATCGATTTATCGGAAGTTGCGTAGGAAGTCGTCGTAGTTGATCCAGAAGACAGAGTCGTTGCCAAAATGGTAGCCGAGCTCCTCTTGGACTTCCATGGTCCATTCTTTGGAGCCATGGGACTAAGCGCCCTCCCACAGCCCCCGCGTATCTTTCACCAAGGGTTGCGGAGCTTGATCAGGCGCTCTCCAGAATGAAGCGTCCTAGCTTCCATGACAACGTATGCATGGCCCTCCGAGATGCCATTTCGCTCACCATAGCCTCCGTCGAGGACACCGGTGGAGCAGCCAAAAAGGAACTCTTCGCTGACTTTGGCAAGTTCGTTCTCCCAGAAGCACTCGAGATCGAGGATATCCGAGGTAAGCAGCTCGGTGGTCACACCACCCGAGAGATCTGCTAATCCCTCGCCTATCAAAGCCCCAGCCAACGAAGCGAAGTCACCGTGGGCCTTAGCGTAAGCCTTTTCAATCAACGGCACCCATTCTCATTCTGGTCTTTGCACTGTGCAAAAAGCAGCGCCTTGGATCCGGCTTGGTAGGTCTTGCGGTAGTCACGTTCGACGTCCTCTCGGTCGATCAGCTGAAGCAGATCTCGCTGCATACTGGGCAAATCCCAGCAAGGAGACTTGAGGTACAGCTTGTCGTCGATGATAGAGTAAATCCACTCACCATCACGGTAGAATACGAACCCTTAAATGCCGATGTGGGTGTCGAACCCGGCGCAGATGCGCTGAATTGCGCCTTCAACATTAGCAAGGACAGTCCGTGTAGCCACCAACCAGCAGTCTCCCAAGCTTCCCTGTATGACATCTCCGCCACTGACGTTCTTCAAGAATGTTGGCTTCTCGAAAACTTCGTGGACGCGCTTTATTGCCTTTGGGATCAATGCACTTGGGTCGGAAAGAGTTGTCCTGCAAAGCGGCCATTGAGTGTGGCCAAGGGAGTTGAGGCAGTAACCTTTTTCCCGCTTCAAATCCCAGTCCTGAAAGACGTATTAGTTCCCGAGCTTTGCAGGAGCAGGCAGTTACTTAGGGTCAGCTCACCAAATCCCATTTGGGGTCCCGGTATTGCGAACTGACTCTGTAGCATTCTTGGATAATCTTCTCGACCCTGCGGCGGCACTCCTCGGCAGCTCGCTCAAATCCATTATTCAGCAACTCATTCGGCTTCTCGAGGCTTGCTGGCAGAACAGGGTCGAATGGCAGCACAGCGAACGCCTTGTTGAACTTCTTTTCCTGAATCCCTTTCCAAACTTGGTTGATGGAAGGTTGCGGAGGTGTTTTCTTCTTCTTCTTCTTTTGGTCGTTGCTACTGGTTTTTGCCGGCACGTGGCGAGGACGATAGGGATCGTCCGATTCCTCTGACGAGCTATAGCCGTGCATGGCGAGATGGGTTGAAACAAGCAAGGGGATTCAAGAATTCGGCAAGGCTATGAAACTGACGGGTTACGACAGTCGAAAACGACGGCGGCGGTATCGGTAAAGACTACAAGCTTGGAGCAAATTCCCCGAGCATATTGCCGTTCACGGTAAAGGTTGTCGCAAGTTTACGTGAAATGAAGGCGGTCTACTACTGTGATGCAAGTAACTGACTTGATCAAGATAGAACGAGGCCAAAACGATATGGAGAATGGTTGCGGGGTGCGTGGCTGCGCATGAGTTGCAGTGGGGAGGAGAAGACGATTTAAGAAGGAAACCAAGAAGGGGGAGGGAAGTTGGAGAAAAATGGCTCAGCTGGCCATAACGCTCGCGGGGTTGACTTCATCCAGCAATGGTGTCAGCCTCGTTGGACGAGCTCGACGCATGGGTGGTGGTGGTGGAAGAACACGGACGGTGGTTCGCACTGCTTGGACACGATCGATGCATACCCACACAACGAGGCAGCCGCGGGCGTCAAGCGGGTAGTCGAGGAACAATATCCAAGAGGTTGGAGACGTCAAGCGCCCCGGTAAATGCCCAGCGAGAAAATGCTAGCCAGTCTCGGAGGTAAGATCCGAAAAAATAACAGAGCCGTAACCTTGCAATCTAGAAAAGCTCAGCCCAGCTGCCAGAATGGGGTTAACTGCGTCAGGCAATCAGGCAACCTAATTACAGACTCCGACTATACGTCAGGTAGTCTAGCGCATCCCATCACGCGAGGCAACCAGAATCTGCTCTGTTCCTACAGAGCCGCTTGAGCTTATGGCGTCCAACAGGTTTCTCTATGCGCAGCCAGACTTGAGCATCCTTCACATACTTTTCGGTCTTGGCGCTCTCTTCAAACAAATTGTTACAGCAATAGTAGACTTCATCTGGCATGCGCTTACTGTTTCTCGTTCGATCAGCAACGATGACTTCTTCTACCCGGCTTTGTTGCACTGGGCTAGCAGTTTCGAAGGGCTCCCGAAAAGACACCAGATGGCAGGCTTGGACGAGACACCATGGCTACACCATTTACGACGAGAACAGACCGAGAGTTCTTCCGACCGACGATTACTCTTTACGCCATGTCCCGGCAGAAGCTCTTTCTACCATCTGGGCAAGATATGCTGGATGCATCGGCAAATCGTCCGAGCAGTACCGGGAGGGCGAAAAGAAATGATCACGATTGAAAGTTGGGGCCGCGACCCGACAGCCATCAATCAACTTTTAGAATCGATCAGGGCAGCCTACTTCGACCAAGGGCCTGGCAAAGTGGCGACATTCCGAGCTTCGTGCGGTAAGGAGCCTGGGTGGGAGTTGATTGGTTCACAGTCACGGGCTATATCCACCATTGCTATGGATGCAAAGCAAAAAGAGGCCGTAGTGAACGACTTGAAGCGCTTCACCGAGCCGAGTGAGTCCAAATGGCACTTGGAGCGAGGCATTCCGTATCGTCGCGGGTACCTATTCCACGGGCCCTCGGGGACTGGGAAGACGTCCCTCTGCTTGGCCTTGGCCACTCTTTTCCAACTTCCTATCTACAGTATGATTCTTGGTGCGATGGACGACGAGCTTCTTTTCAAGCTGTTCCACCAGCTTCCACAGAGGTGCATGGTACTTCTTGAGGATATTGACACTTCACCCGTTGCACAAACGCGTCCGCAGTACACGGAACCACAGCAAAGACAACAAGGCAACGGTCTCACACTGTCGGGTCTCCTCAACATAATCGATGGCTCTGGGGCCCCAGAGGGGCGTGTTTTGGTTATGTCGACCAACTACCCGGATAAACTTGACCCGGCAATCACCAGATCCGGGAGGGTGGATATGAAGGTCAAGTTTGAGTTGGTGAACAAGGAAAGCGCAGGACTTCTCTTTCAGTCCTTGGTACTCGCAGGCTCGTCCGTCACGGAGAAAGATTCTGCAAATGTAAACGTCGACAACACAAGCCGTGATCTCGCAGCAGAGTTTAAAGAAAACATATCCGAGGGCGTGGTCCGTCATGCAGACTTACAGGAGTATCTGGTAGCCAGAAGGCGTGATCCGCGGGCTGCAGTGGATGAAGTTTCTGCATGGTTCGAAGCGGCAAGGTCACGAATAAAGTGATACTGGTTCAAAGAGCACACAAATTCCCTACTTCTTGGAGGACCGGTGACCTAGTGACACGATGTTTTGAACGGACGGACCTGGTCAAGAAAACGAGTCGCACGTCCAAAGTCTGTCTGACATTGGCACGGCCATGAGCGAATCAAGGCATGCGCTAATCGTCCAGAGGGGATCGAGAACCATCACGATGGGTCATCTCGTCGCCATCAACATCGCGGCAGCCTCATCCCTAGCAGTCGCAGTGAGACATGAACAGCTACATGAACTCGGAAGCCACCGTTACACCGCCCGGGACCAGCCTGGAACGCTGTTCGCCCACCACCAAAGAGCCTCGCTGCTGTAGGGTCTGTGAGGCCCAATCCATAGCTCGTGAACGAGTCATCGTTTCGAGAATCGACGGTTTTGGTGGAACGATGCTATTCAGCCGTTGAAAAGATGGATTGCTGGCAGCATGGAGGGAAGGGAGGTCTTCTCGGTCCGACACCTCTCCTTCCAAGACTCAAAGATTGATACCAACTTGAGAGAAGACTGATGTGGTGAAGAGATGACGGAGAGCCTGCTGCACTGGCCAGGCCAGATAAAGACCGAATGTGGTGACCAAATACCACACGTCAACCGCCATTCACCTCACCTGCCTCTGGGCTCCCTCTCAGACGCACGTCCAGGGGCCCAACGAACCATCAAGCCGCCTAGGAAAAGAGCCAGGTGGCTGGCGCGCGCACAGTGTTCCCTGCGCGTTGTCTCCATCTTCAGACTTTCAGGAGATCTTGGCCACGCAATGGCACTATGTGACGCCTTCCGGAGTTATGTTCGCGCGCACACGCCGGTCGAAGCGGCTGCCTGGATCCCAACCTCTTCTCGCCGTGCAGAGGGAGTGCCTGCAGCTGCCGGAGAGCGTCGACCCTCGATGGTCGAGGCATGCTTGCCATCGATGGCTGGCCGTGATTGTTCGCGCACCCCCCCGCCACTCGCACTTCACGGGCCTGGGCTTCCCAATGCAGATGAGGCCGCGCCCAGTCAGGTTGCCTATGTCTCTGCATGGGGAACTCGGTGCGTTGTAGACGACAGGCAGATGGTTTGTGCACAACTCGAGAAGGTACACCAGTGAGGCTAATGCTCCTGCACCATGCGCCAGCAAGGATTGAACGGGCGCAGCTACAAGCTCTCGCAATCAATGGCAGGGCCAGGGGGTAGGCATACGCCTCCCTGGCTCTTACGCCTGCCAACGACGGACATCAGTACTTCACCCAGCCGCAGGGGCGTGCCTGACCTTCTTTCTGAGCAGGGATTCTTCCTGGACAAGGATCCCTTCTGAGCAAGGAGTAACTTTGATCTCACCCCGCTACACGTGTAGATCTTCAGCCTCCGTGGACTCAGACGCCAAGCACACAGACAGTACAGAAAGCTCGACCGTTTGCCTCCTTCGTGTTGACCGGTGAAGGCGCATCCAAGCACAGCGGTCAGTTGACAGGTGGCCATGTCCTGCCGATATCCCGACGGCGGCGGCCTCGTCAACGGACGATTCGAGATGCCGGCTCTTGCCTCAATCGGGTGATATTCGCAGGAAGCTCAATGACGCGGTGAACTCATGAACGTGCTTGTTGCTTGCCCGCTGTAGCCACGGCTGTATGCGCAGGATCTAAAGCAAATAACGCCACCCCATGCAGGAGCCAGCGAGCCCTCCTTCGATGCCGCAACACATCGAGGTCCTCGCTGCGCATCGCACTATCCCGTCCCCATGCCGTCGCTGCCATCCCCGCCGTAGTCGAAACAGGCTTCGCTGTTGTTGGTGGGTCCTACCATCAGACGACTGATGCCACGCGCCTGCGCGCTAACCTTATCGAACGTGGCACGCAGACCAATGCAGCCGTATTGGTGTGTCCACGCGCGGCAGCCCTTCGACCGGGCTACTGCACGCGGCTTCCGATCCGTTCGTCCCGAGGCGTCCTGGCATCCAATAATGGGGTGTACTGGCCACCAAAAATGGGGTAGATGCAGGAGGTCGCCAGCGGCCGCCACTCCAGCCAGCCCCTGAGCACACGCCCCGACCCTGGCGCTGTCTGTGACCAACGGCCAGCGTGGTGCAAGTAGCGCGCGCTCCCAACTCCCCTCGCGCGACGCCCCATCCACCCAGACGCAGGGACCAGGCTCCGGCCGCGGCGCTGGCCCGGCTTCCGCAACACCGGCCCGGGGCCATCCCGCCCCGCCGCGCCAGGGAAGCCCCAGGACGTCCTTCTCACCGGCGTGTGGGTCGACGCGCCGGGGGCACAGGCCACCACTCCGTAGGTCCCCGACGTATCCCGCGGGCATTGCTTCCTGTCGTGCTCGCCGGTGGTATAAGTAACCGAGCGTGTGACTTCTGGGATGGAACGTGCTATCTTTTGAATGACACACGCTCCTGGCTTTGCTGCCATGTCTGCCTCCTCCCTGAGAAGCCAGACGGCGACTTGGCAAGACCGTCTTGAATGTACGACAGATGTCTCTGTCCCGCGCCGCCGAGTCTAAACAGCGTCCAGATGCCTGCCGAGAGGCCAACATCATGCCGCCTGTGTTCCAAATCGTCTCCGACCGGCGAGGTACGCATACGCTGCTCTTCGTTGGAGCGGTCCTAACTCTCTCGCAGGGAGACGCACAGCCTGGTCCAGCCGGGTGACCGTCCACGGGCGCACGCTCTCGGCTCGGTTCTGGTACGACGGGAAGAACCTGAACAACGCCAAGGAGGATGCTGCCGAGATGGCTCTGAACTATCTCACAGGTTCGAATCCGAGCTGAATCAGCTTCAGGAGTCGCGACCCGAACTAGAAAATACATTGTACGAGGATCATCAGTGCAGACTTCAGGGCGGATCGAGATAGCAGACGTGTGAATCGAGACTTTCCGAGCTTCATACTACGCAGTAGTGATGACTCCATACCTGTAATTGCGTGTCCTTGGCCAGCCCCGCTCACAGCTCGTCGTCGGCGACGACGGAAACGGTGTCTTGCGCCCGTGTTCCTAGATTGTCTATTGCCCACTTGAGCAATCATCGATTCCCGGCAACCGCATTTCTGTAGAGTGAGATTGACGTGGCATTGGCCTGAGGCTGTTCTTTCGATGTGTGACCCTGACCGACAACATCGGACTCCAATGAGGTCATCCAGCTTAGGGACTTGACCAAAAATCCAAGGTTACGGAAAAGTGGCGGTACAAGATCGTTTAAGCAGAACATAAGAGGACAAAGTCCGGGTCAGGATGATGTGTACACAAGGCAAAGGGGACACAATGGAACGCACGCCGTTTGGAAGACTGCCCTGTAATACCTGCTGCAACTGTTCGCAATCCAACCAGAACACGCCGATTCTTCAATTGACGGAATCGAATCGTTCCGTAAGGGATCCTCAATCCAATCGTCCCAATCACTGGTCTTGGTCTCCCCCGAAACACCGGATGTCAGCAGCTAACGGACTGGCTGGAAGGGTTTTCACATTCGCCAAGCACTTCAACCCGTTTTCTGCAGGCCATGGCGTACGATTTGCTTCCTTCACCACCCCGTATGCATCTCCCACTCGCTTGCAATCCTTGCCAGAAGATGCCGCAGGCTCTGGCCTTCTGGTCCGGTCTGGGAACATTTCTTGGTAGACACTGCGATGTAGCTCTGGCGCGTTGCCAGCCACCTTGCCCCTCTGCCTTCGTGGCTGCAATCCCTCCCATGTACCTTTTTAGACACCCATGCATTGTCCTTCCCCCACCACCCCTCATCTCATTCTAGTACCCCTATACCGGTGGAATCAGATGGAATTTGTACGTCGTCATTCGTCAGGGCCAGCAGGATGGTCGCCTCGCAAATTATGGCATACCTTTTTTAAATGCAAAGCGAGGAGCTCCAGTAGATGCCACCAGGTTCGTCGAGTCTGGTTGGAGCCTAACCCTTGATACACGGGTAACAACGACAAGGCCGGCTCCCTGTAAAAGCGAGGCGGCATCTCTATGGCAAGGGCTGTTATCATTGACTTATTCCTCCAATCGTGGGACATCCGACATGCACACCCCGCTGGGGCACTGCTCTCCTGATAAGGGGCTGATCAGAAGGACCAACTGCGCTGTCCGGCTAGCCGCACGATAATCTGTCCCGGAGAGCACTCTTCCGTGCATGTTCGGACTTCGTCAAGAATGGCAGAAGGTGGGAAGATGGCTTGATCAGCGACCATGCCTGCCGGTCAACGTTCTGGCTCCATCATCGTCTAGGCAGGAATCGCGTGCCTTTTGCACTGCGACAGTATAACTTTACTTGGACCTACATGCACGAGGATCACTGCGTACCATTTGTGATAGCAGAGGATGGATGAGCACATGAGAAAATGAGCGAAATGGGAAGAAATGACGGGTGTTTCGTCCGTGTGTGCGCGAGTCACCCGCACTGACAGCCTCTCCGTCTTGATCACGCCTGAACGACTACGTAGAGATGCTTTGATACGATTGAATGGCCTGGGAAAGGAGTTCGTTTGCCTCGCTATGGACTCAATCGAGAGCGTCGATGTCTGGCTCCGCATTTCCCATCTCATTATTATCGAATCTTTCAACGGAAGGTAAGATACATTCTCACCCGCACCTAGTAAAATCAGTGCACGACCAGACCTTGGAAAAGAACCGTTCGATGTCATTAGTCAGGGTGACTGATCACAGTCGCCTGCCGCTTAGCATGGAGAACAAGGAGAGACTAAGGAGCGGCGGTGAACCCGATGGAAGGAGGCGCGGCGGATCGGCGGGCTGGCGGATTAGACGAGGCGTCCAGGCTAACGCTGTGGCTTCGTCTCAGCCATGAACGGCTGCCTGCTTGGCAATATTTCCATGCTACTGTTGCGGGGCCCGACACGTCGAGGTCACTCTAACGGACTACGCCCTGCTCCGTCCATCGAACAAGCCATTCGCGGGGAGCAGAGTGTGTATAAGAACCTCGACGCAGCTTCTGCTGAAAGAGCTCTGTCTCGTCTCAAGAACGCAGAGGTAACGACGCATAATTGCCTGGACTACGCACAGCGCTGACACCAAAATTCTTTTTTCAGCAATCGCCGAATGCGCTATCTGGCATAGTCCGGCACCCTTTCGAGATTGCGCTGTGCAAAGCCGACGTTCGTTCATCCGACTCCCTTGCGCAAGACACAAAAAAGATAGCGGCCGACGAATTGCTACAACGACAAATCGGTACACCCGTCAACCAGTTGATCATCATGGTTCTCAGGGTGAATAATGAATCCGTGACGCAACAGCTCGAGACTACAGGAGGAACTCTCTTACGGTCAATTCGCACCTTCGACCCCAAGCCTCCACGCTTCGAGCACGCAGATGAGATGGTCAAAGAGCTCGAGATCCAACCACCCAGTCAACAGAGGCTCGAGATTGAAGTGAACAGCATCTACGACAGGCTCGTAGTGATGGAGAACGAATGCATTGAGGCTGACAAAGCCCAATTCTCCAACAATGAAACGAACCCAAGGCTCAACCACAAGCAATGGCAGGCTCTTAATGCACGACACAATGAGCTTTTAAATGAGTACCATGACTTCTTCCTGGCCTCTCATGACCCCTCCGCCAGTCCAGACTTATGTCGGCGCGCAAGCGAGTATGCAATGCCAGCCCGCTTCCGGAAGCACGGGATGCAGTCCTTTCTGGAGTTATTGCATCACCGTTTACCTGATTCACTGGATCACATGCTTAGCTTCATCAACCTGGTCTACTCTAAAACGGCCCTACTATACGAAATGGTGCCGGCTTTTGAAGATACGTGGATTGAATGTCTTGGTGACCTTGGTATATACCGGTGAGTGACATGGTTCCGATGGTGTTGGTACTTTCTGACGGCTCTAGAATGGGAATCAAGGACGATGACTTCAAGGACAGCGAAGTCTGGACCTCAGTTTCACGTCATTGGCACTCCAAGGCCAGCGACAAGTCTCCTACCGACGGCCGCTTGTATCACCAACTCGCAATCTGCGCCAAACCGAACACTCTCCAACAACTGTTTTACTACACAAAGTCACTTTGTGCACAGATTCCCTTCCTACAAGCTCGAGATTCGCTTACGACGTTCTTCAGTCAAAACATGAACGAAGTTTCCGACATGCCCGTGCCGGCCCGCACGGGTTCGTATGACAGCGAGAAGAGTTCTGGCGTGGAGCTGACCAACGAGGTGGTTGAAGCTCTAAACTTGGATCCAATAGACGATGAGTCTGACCTCCTGGAGTCCGCTTCCGTTATCGCTGCGGCCTCAGAGGCCGACACAGTGGACATTGACGTTGTGGTCACTGAGACTACGATGCTTGGCGTAGACGAGGACGGCCCAGTCATTACCGTGGCTTTCAACGACGAAGAGCTTGGTATCATGAGGGTCGAAGCTGTTGATATCAACACTGCCTTCGTACGCGCCCATGGTCTACTGTTTTCTGAAAAGAACAGCGATCAGTTCTCTGCGTACTCGGAAGCCTGCACTAAGAACCTCGCCGGGTATATTGAGAGGTCCACCTGCCGGTGGATGGAGCATGGGTACCAAATCTCTATCGTGCTGGGGTGCGCCCTTCTTGAGTACGGTAGCGAGAGCAATCCAATCATGAGGGCCATCTAAGTGGGTTGTGCAGAAGATGTAGTCCTGCCAAAGGATGACACCCAGGCGACCCACGGGATAGCCGTCGTTCCGACGCGGAGGTTTTTCAATGCGCTGGACTTCGTTTCTCGTACCCACAGGACTGTGTTTGGCCTCACTGGCAATTCCATGGTGTACCCCTACCTGCACGTTACCCTGGTTTTCCTGCGCCACATGTCACAGTATCCCGGCGCGATGGTCTACATCGAAGAGAGGATACCTTGGAAGGCCATCTCCCTGTTCTTGAACAAGGCTCTGGAATCCTTTTCATGCTACCAGAAGATTGAATCTGAGGACTTCCCGGTGCCCGCAGATAGGGATGCTCGACCGCTCCCCGAAGACTTTGCACAGAGGGGATTGCTATGGGTTGAAAAGTATTATCCCACTGACTGGTTCACGGGTACGGAGGTGGAGTGCGACAAGAGATTTCTCGAACTCAGCTATATGGTGCGGGAGCGTGCGGACAGGTGTCTTTGGCTAGGGTGTCGTCTTGCCAAGTCAGGCAAGTGGTTAAAGTACGACAAGACAGTCAAGCTTTTCCACGTGGAGTCGAGTTTTGATGATGATCCCCAAAAGTAAGGCAGCGCAGTCTCCTCGAGGCGATGTAGAGATCATTCATGTCCCAGCTCAGAACGGCGCTTCATTCGTTGAAGTGACTCCCGGCGTTAGGAAGATGGGTTGCGTACACGATTGGCGACAGCACATGTACATCGCCCAGGTAGATAAGCCCTGTTCATCGTGTTCAAAATATCAATGTATCGGCCACGTGACCGCTTTTGACACTTCTTGCCTCACTCATCGTTTGCCAACAATTCACCGCCAAGCTGGCTCGATTTGTCCCCAAGCTAGACGCCATGTGAATGACAACATAAGGGTCATTGACAGCTACACGACCGTTGAAGCTGCCGTACCAACCTTCGTATTGACTACTGGAGACAGAGGTTACGGCCTGATGACTTGATGGTTGGGCAGTCGCCTCGGCGATGCTTCGCTCCGGCAGATGTCACACGATCATCATCACGCTAAATTATCAGCATGCAAGTGATGGATCACGGAGCGTATATTCGCATGACGATGCGTCTCTTACTTCAGAGGACCGGTCGAGGCATGAATCCGGCATTCACCTTGGGCAACATCATGGGCGTGGATTACAACTGCAGGGCCTTTCTGGCTGATGACTCGGGAAGCACGCTTCAATGCCAGTCATGGATTAGCTAATGGCTAAGCCAGGGCGTCTTAATCTCTCTCTCTCTCTCTCTCTCTCTGTGTGTGTGTGTGTGTGTGTGTGTGTGTGTGCACACGGGCGACGACACAACATCGAAGGTCTACGCGGAAGAGCTGCAGGGCATCATCCTGGCCCTTGAAATGGTGCAGGCAGACAAGTAAAACGGAAACCACAGAAGCAAAGTCTTCATCCACACCGACAAAGAAGCCGCTATCAGTTCGTCAGCCAAACCAAAGGGTAAATCCGGCGCATACCTCCTCATGATCATCGCAGACAAGACACAGTCACTCCGAGAGCAAGGACTACTGTGGGTGCCGGCCCACATCGGCATCTAGGGCAACGAAGCAGCAGATGTCGCCGCGAAAGAGGCCACGGGATGGAGGCAGCTCAGGTCGACAGTCAAAACATGGTCGCACAGACAGTCCCACTAATGGGAAGTCGAGACGCTGGAAAGAACATCGTTCCGTCTCACACCAAAGCCGACGAACAAGGTCCTTCAACTTTACGAAAGCCTCAGCAAACGCCACAGCGCACTGCTGGTCTGGTCCAGATGCGCACGGAAAAGATCGGACTCCAGGATTTCCTCTTCAGCTGAAGAGTACCAGGCATCATCAATGCCAAGTGCCCCTGCTGGAGAGGATGACAAACGGTCTCGCACATCCTGCTGCGATGCCGCAGGTTCCGACAACTCTGACGTCAGGAATTCGGAGCCCTTCCAGGACGACACAATCTCCGGGTCATACAAAACAAGCGCAAAGCAGCCGCCAAGGCAATCCGATTCGTAGAACAGACCGAGATCCTTGGGCAACGCGGGATCGAGTCGCAACCCAGACAAAGCTGAGCATTGAGGGGAGACTGTAGGTAAATGGATCCGCCACATGAGGCGTAAGACCTCAACAGAGCCTAGGATTACATTAGTAGGGAACCGCAAACTACACTTGGTGGCAGCCAGGCGTAGATGAGGTTGGAGGACAAAGCCGAAAATTTGGAGACAGCTGGCCAATGTTTTTTCGGCTGTTGGCCAAACCCCGCTATCCGGGAATAGCTGCTGACATAAGAGCGGCTGATAACCGTGTAGGATTAAATTAAATTAATCAACGATTCAATCATACCTCACAAGCTCTGAAATCGTCTAGCATGAACTGATGGGCAGCATAATTGACGACACCCCTCGAGCGCCAGTCCGACATTCCGATTCCGTTTCGCGACCCTCGAGCACCGTGAGCACCTCGTCATTCGATACAGTATCAGGCCCAAGACGTTCCCGCAAAAATGCGTCTCCGACGAAGCAGCTTGGTCGCCTCGAGATTCCCGACTCATTCCGCCTATGTCTCTTCGACTTTGCCGATCGGGAAACAGCGAGCAGCCATCCGCCCAGTCTGCAAGGAACCCGATGGCAACTTACGCTTTTCTCAATGCATCAAAGGATCATTCCAACATTGCATCGCGTGCGTCTCGTCTTTTCCTCGGATGCTTGCTAGCAACACTGACCACGGAGCGTTGGGAGGCGGCCGACTCACTTTTGCAGGATCTCCTCTCTCCTCGTTCGTCTGGACGATGATGTTTACTACAGCGACAACGAGCCTTGGCGATGTGGCAAGATCGTGCCCATGGACAAGATTCAGAACATTGTGACCAATACTGGGCGCTGCACCAGGCTTCAAGCTGCCGAGGCCGTTTGAAATGCCGGAGTACACCACCAAATACTCCTTCACGCTCTGCGAAAAGATGGCGATTGTATGGGCGACGGTCTTGTCGATTTTTTGTCCTGGTCTGCGCCCCGCCCCTCTAATGACGGCGTAGGCAGCTGACCGGATGCCGATGTTACGTTCAGCACCTCCGCTGACATTCATCGACATTTACTGGATAAGCGAGCACAGGTCAAGATGGTAGACTTCTGCATCTGCATCCATCCCGACGCTAACGTAGAAATGGAAATCAACGCCGTGATCAAACAACTATGTGACAAGTCCCTGCCCGAATCTGTCAATCACACAGACTGTTCCGTCTTCCGAAACCACCCCATTGCGCTGAGTGTTGAGTCCAGTAGTCAAGATGGCAGTGAAGGGGCGGCGACATTGCGGATTGGAACCTGGCAGTTGGCATTCGCTCTCCAGACTGTACGGTTGAATCAGCCCAGTGGCGACACCAACTCGGAGATTGACACGTTCGGAGTCATTTGCGCGATCCAATACCTAGCGTGGTGGTGTGCGGACGTATATTGGCCATGGTTCCGGGCGAATATACTCAATTTTAGGAGACAAGGGCACCCATAAAGCTCAGCCTTACTGAGCGCCATGCATCACTTATATACCTCTTGGAATGGTGTAGCGAATTGTCGGAAAATGCCCAGGAGATGACCTAACTTGGGCATAGTTTCGCTGGCCATGCGTATGTCGCTGGCGAAAAGCCTCGTACTCTTATCCGTGGTTCGTGGGCACAGTATTGGAGATCATGCCACTTCGATCTTTGCTAGTCTTGTGGCTGAATTTGCTCATTGTTTGGCGCGTCTACTTGAACGAACTGCTGCTGGAACACTTGCTCATTCTTTTGGTCACATTGCTGCCCGGTTTGCACCTCGTCATTTCAGACGAGCTTGAACATGTTCTAGTCTGCCAGTCGAAAGCGACTAGCGACTAGGTTTAAAATCAGTTGGTTGGAGCTTGCGTCTCACAATCTTGCGCTGAACGCGTGGGATGTGCCGGCCAGCATTGAGTGATGCTATCAGTCTATTAACCTCGATTATATCAGCACCTGTGGCACAGGAACAGGCTCTCATTTGTCCCAATCAACACGCTCCATGATGTCCTGTTGTTGCAGTGTTTTGAATCCGTGGGCTTGAATATGTGGGTATGTTGTTGTTGGCATGGTCAATTCGGAAAGGTGCCCGACTTCCATGACCATGCAGGTCGTGGGCGTCTCGGACTCCTTGATTAACCTTGTCCCTCAATCCAATGCTAGCAACTGTCACACTCGTATTCTTGCTGAGCGATATCGCGATCACTGGCAGGTCATTCTGATTCGGAAGATGGGCCTTGGAGGGGTCGTAGTTGATGTTGAATATGTCGAAGACAATCCAGATCCGCATAGGCCATATCTCCTTAACGACGAGCATTGCGTCTGCATCCACAATCTGTGTAGATGGGGCGTTAGAGTTTAGATGACCAATTGCTAGGTTGACAATCTCCTTGTCGCTTGATAACGCCTGAGACCACTGGGGGCTTTTCTTCGAAACAGATACAAAAATGCGCTTGGCAATCCTATCACCGCCTCGTTCGGTCATCGCAATGGAGTCGAAAAATTCCGAAAACGTTTCCAGGAAACCTATCTACAGTATCAGTCCGTTTGGCGCATAGGTGAGCACAGCGTAACTTGGCCTGGAAGATGGAGCGGGCACTTACCACAATTTCAAGCACGTTTGGGCAGTGATAGTTTGACTACCACAGGGGAATTGGCACGTACGTCGAAGATGGGAAATCAAACGCACTAATATAGGCTTAGAGTAGGATTATGTCATTCTTTTGCACTGTCACAGTCACATCATGCATTAAACCGTGATGATAATACCCATCGTTGCTATGCACCAAAACATATGCCCCGCTAAAAATACCATGACTACTGTAGAATTATTTGGTAATTTTGTGGTTCATCTAGCCTTTGCGTTTGTGACCACCTCTCCAACAATGCCCAGTACCACAACCAACCCATTCGTTTCCTTTCTCAGGAATGTACCCCTACTGACTTTCTGGCGTTCCATAACTGCATGGTCCACACGTGCCGGAGATGACACTCACAGTCGAACCATCAGTATAGATGGCATGGTAGCCGTCGGTGCATGGGCCAGTGCACTTATCCAGCACAACGGCGTCGCAATTTGAACATTTGGTCCTCTCCCAAGTGCACATTTTGGAAGTCTAGCTCTAGGGATTAGTTGAAACCAGACGCAGGACGAAGGGTCTTCAATCGACTCACCCTCAAGTTCAAAGATAGGTTTGGATCTTTTTTTCCAAGTGATAGCAGTGGCTTCGAAGTTTTGCTGTTGATTAAGGTGGTACAGAACAAAAACTCCTGCGACTTACGAGGATATCAGCGTACTTATATTGTAGGTCTAGAAAATTTCAACATGAAATGGAGACGAGGAAGGGCTCCATGATGGCATCGTGCACATTCGCTATGTGAGTAGCTAAGCTCGTTCACGCCGAAGATAAGCAGCAGCAGCAGGCAAGCTCCTTGCAATTTCTCCATCCCCGCGCGATCCTCCAAGCACTATGATTGGTGCGAATTAAATTGCCTGCCGATGAGAAATACATCACAGCGGGCTTGCAGTTTCATTGGCGCCGGGCGCCCTGCGTTGTGCGGTTGGAACACAGATACCTGCAGGCCCCTCACCCAATCGCGGAACATCCAGGCTCTTAACGCCCCCATTTCGAGGTTACGGGCCAGACCGGAAGAATGATGTGACCAAGTGCCTTGAAGCGGTTAGGCGAAACTTGTGAACCCCATGATTGGTTGAACTCTGTCATACCGCTTTACACCTTGCAGGGATTGGATCTGCCCAGCACACTAAGGAGTCCTCGACAGGTCTGCACTGGAGCGCCAACCCTTACGCTAGACCTTCTAGCCTCCCGAGCCAAGGCCCGCACAAAGCCGCAGGCTCTGGCTTACTGGTCCGGTCTGTGAACATCTCTTGGTAGGCACCGCGAAGTTGCTCTAGTGCGATACCTACCACCCTGCCCCTCTGTCCGCGTGGCTGCAATCCCTGCCATGTGCCTTTTTGTAGACACCCATGTCTTCCCCTTCCCCTCTCCATCTCATCTTCGCACTCCTGTAGAATCGGTTGGAGCCAGCCGATGTCTGGGTCATGTCGGATGTTGCGTGAGTCAGAGACGTGAAACATGTGTCCGTCGTAACGTGCCAGGTCCAGCGAGGTGGTAGTCTCGCAGATTATGGCACAGCTTGTGTAGATGCAAGAAAAGCGAGGAGCTACCTCGAAATGCCGACCTACAAGCCTGAGCGCCAAAGGGCTAGGCCAACTTTACGTTGACGGCCACCAGATGTCGCATTTCTCGACATAGAAAGACAGCGCGAAAGTGCCTGCGTTCATGATAGGAGCTTCGGCGTCTGATCAAAAGACATCGCGCAGCTTGAGTCACTTGACGGCGCTTCTAAAAGCTCTTCTTCAATATCTGCCACAGAAAATGGTCAAAAAGCTTGGGTCACAGTACGCTGCAGTCGTGCGGGACCGCTCCGATTCCAAAACCGGGGACGTGGCTTCTTGGCTCCCGGGCTCGGTCGCTCGACTCCTCGACCACAAAACCGACGATAACATATCTGAGCTCCGTCGTCAGATCATGGCATTTTTATGTTGCTGCCTGAGACCAAAAGGAATATCACTGGACGAGTCGGAATGGAAGGGAAGAATTGATGTATCCTAATAGTCGATACTTTAGTCCCCTCGTCATAAGTAGCGATATTCTTTCATCACGCGGAGTCCGAGATTCTTACATGCTCAATATCGTCGCTTTGGGGTGAAAATGTTCTCAAGATCAGATTAAAAGACGGGCGCTCCGTGGTCCGTCTCATCTCAGTGCTTGCAACGGGTCGAAGCTGTGTGCGAGCCGGAGTTGTGCGCATTCAAAGACAAGATCGCGTCTTCGGCGAAGGGGTACGTCGCCCTCGCCGACGAACTACCGGGTGCTGATTACGACGGAAAACAAAATGGATTTAGTTATTGCTTGACTCGTCCAACACCTTCCTACACGAGATTTGACACTTGACAAAGTGACTCTCTCGACTGTTGACATACATCTCAAGTCACTAGCGAATAACAAGTCCGCAATAGTTCCGTGCCGTCAAAGCCAAGGCGACACATTACGCAAGCGGCTTTCGTTCTACTTTTCAATTCCGAATTCAATTGACCGCATCCATGTCGGCTGCTCGCACTGATATGGCAAGTCAATGTGACGGCGCACTGCTTGCTGGATGCTGATGCTGCTTATGCGTGAAAGCAGCAAACAGCTGCGCAACCGTTCTGTTGGCGGACTTGGGCCTCGGTAAAAGCTGGTAGCCGCTTTCTGGGGAGTTCGCTGTTAGCCAAGTTGCAGGGATCCTCTACAATTTTGCTTGACACAAACGTGGGAGCCATGCCTGAAAAGGGGTGGTGGAAGATCGCGTCCAATATGTGCTCCCGGATGCTCCCAACAGATCAGATGCTAGCTTAAGATATGGCCGCATCCAAGAAAAGCGCGCCCCTCGCATGCGCCCTATCCTTCTCGGAAGCCACATGGTAAGCCACTTCCATCTCCATCATCAAATTCTTGCTTTTGCTCTTCCGACCGTCCAGACCGAGCGCTACGGCCTCTCCACAAACTCGTCACCTATTCTAGGCCCGGTCTAGTTTCGTATCATGATCGGTCTCAGCATAGAATGCCTCCCTTTTGCCTCCTTGTTTTTGTAGACGCGTCCTGAGACCGTTCGAGGCGTGTGACGTATTATTCACAAGCTGCACAAACCCCATTTCTTGTGTTATCACAGCTTGGGAATGGGAGGGCAGGCAAGGCAGAATAGGCGAGCTAGGATCACAGCATGGCGCGACGGGGCGTCATCAGGAGGCCCGCATTTGCAAGCAACAAGTACCGATACACTGACAAGAAAGCTGATTCTTCACCAACCCTTGGTGGACACGCCTGTATATACCTAGATCTATCTATATACGTACTTAAGGGCTTATCGTGCCATACGAGCCAGGCCGCGCGTGAGCCCCTTCGAGCCGTTTTGGACATGCTGCATGTCAAGTCCGAAGTTCAGCAGGCGACATTGCACGCACCTTTTCAGCCAGTGCACAGGGACGCATTGTTGATTGCAGGCGTTCTTCGGGCCATGCTGGAACCCTAGCCCGCCCCCTCCGGGCCCGCCCCTACCAACCCTAGGGATGGGGTTTGGCATAGAACGGGCGTCACAGTGCACTTGTTCTCGCACTAACGTGCGGCATGTGGGGATACGCGAAGTAGTGTATACCTAGAGACAATCACCTCCCCACATTCCTGGCTAGTCAGAGGAGAAAGGAGATATCGATCAGGGTGGTTTCTACATCGTCAAGTGATTGACCGTCCAGCCAACCGATCGCTGCCGCCTGTCACTGCCGCCTGTCACTCACTGCCTTGGATTCTTCCAAGTGACTCAGGGTGTTTTTCGCAGGCACCCTCCCATGGCGATGAAGCACTGGAGCTAAATCTGCTCCGCAACCTGTCGGTCCGCCCCCGCGTCCCCATATGCCTGCCCTGGGTATTACCCATGCATATGTTCGTCAAGCAACTCGTACAGAGCTCGGTCGATTCTTCACTTGTATTATTTTGCTGGACACGACGGTCCATAAACCGTTTTTGCCGGTCGCTGGAGAGCAGGCTCAGCAGAATACCTCCTCTGAACCGGACAAGTCGGAAAGTTATGACAACGCCGGATTCCAGCCTGGAACCCAGGCCCCAATGCCACCCCGACCCGCCGTGGCAGAAGTTCCTGCGGGGCGCCGCATTCTGCCTTAACGAAGCAGCTTCAAGAGAACCATCCTGTGTTTGCACAATGCCTCGACAAAGCAGATGACATGGAGGGAAGTCTTGCCGTGCAATATGTCAACACCAAGGGACCAGGTCCAACATACATCGGGCGCATGGTCGCCGGAAAAACTCTCTTCAGGTGGTCCACCAAGACAGCGAAGTGAAGACGGTCATTTCGGACATGAAGGCAGGACCTGGTTCTACGCAAGTCGTTCCAGTCTCTGACAACGAGGACGGCGCAAGGAGCTTGTTAAACATGGCGTTGGGCCCTCGCCGCTCAATGCGGGAGGATCCAAAGCACCTCCAACCAGCTGAAATTACGAGATATTTACCTGCCAAGTTCCCGGGGAACCGGCCTCGTTTTTGGAGGTTTGGGAAATCAGAAGGACCGCTGGGGATGCTTCATTGCCGACCAGTATTCTGGCGCGAAGGGAAGCACGGAAAACAACCAACGCGGAAAGCTCCTGGATAAGGCTGGGGTGGACTTGGGGACGTGGATCTGCCTGGAGGTGTTCGCCTCCTTGCTTGCGCATTGCGCAGAGCATGAGGGCCAGACGACGTTGTGTCCCAACTGATTGTGGGCTAAACAGGAAGCCGTCTTCGGTTTTAAGCCGGGTCAGCCTCAGGCAACCCTGCAAAAAACATGCAGTCGCTGACCCAGAAGGCTCCAGCATGTCCGGTTAGGACAGGGAGCTGGGCCAAGAGCTGCTTAGTCGTGATGTGGCATAAGGCTCAGCGTGAGCGGTGCCAGACGGGCATAGAGCAGGATCTCCGCACGGCCGGGGCCGTGGAGGGCTGTTTTCTGGACGAGGGGGCAGAGATGTACAGTTAGCTCTTGGCGTTTTCGAGAAATCCGCGCAATCCACAGTCTTTCTCAACGCCTTTCTGTGGCTGGGCGGATCGTACGCGACGCTTTTTACAGCGTCCTTCTTGTGTGGACAAAAGATTTCGGGAAAATGACCAGAAACGCAATCGCTCAGAATACTGTATCGCACGCAGCGCATGTCACCCGCACGCATCTAGAGCATCGAGAGGCTCCAGATTGAAGCCGCTTCCGGCGGGCCCCTTGGTTTCATACTTGCCCATGATTCGTAAGTTCGCCACGCAAGGTGCGTTAGTTGGCGAAAATGCGCACTTTCTTGTCGACACTCCCAGTCGCAATGACACATCGAATTTGATGATCTGTCTCGACTGCTTTGCTTCATGTACTGTTGTTGGCGTCCTGCGCGTCGCTGTCTGTTGCCACCTCGCGAGAAATGCATGGTGCCCATCGCAAGCACGAAACGAACTGAGTGTGCGCATCGTCGAGTTGAACACATCTGCCCTCCTCTGCGAGATCCCAACATCGTAGTGTCTTGTCGTCAGATACACTTAGCAGGTGCCTGCCACCAGGGTGGAAGACAACGGCCCGCACCCAATTGTCGTGTCCAGTCAGGACCTTAATGCAGTTTCCTCTGGCGTCCCAAAGACAAATTGTCCTGTCACGGCTGCCTGTTGCCATGAACTCGGCCGCATTCTTTGCTGGCGGTTTCCTTAGCCCAGCAAGTTTCGCCATATGTACGTGGGCGTTGGGTGGAGCGAATGTACAACATGTGACAACGTGCTCGTGGTGTATGAGCGTCACTTTCGCCTCAAGGTTCGCCGTGCTAATGTCCCACACGCGCCCTGTACGGTCGTCGCCAGCCGATAGAAGAAAGCGGCCGTCCGGCGACGGATAAACATCACGAATCCAGTCAGTATGGCCCTGTAGTGTCTTGACACAGTAGCCGGTTGCAACGTCCCATATTCGCAGTGTCTTATCACGGCTGGCAGAAACAAGCAGGTTCCCTGAGCCTGGGTTGCCCGCGGATCCAGAAGATATGAACCTGACCGCACTGACACTGTGGTCGTGGCCAGGCAACGTTCGGATGTTCTTGTAGTCGTCTGAAGGGTCCCACAGCTTGATTGTCAAATCATTCGAGCAGGAAGCCAGCAGGATGGCACCCCGCGGTCCTCCGAAGTCGACGTCGGTCACTGCTTTGGTATGTCCCTTCATAGTCCTCTCCAGCTCGCCCAGCTCCCAGTCCCAGATTTTGATGGTGCAGTCTTCGGACCCTCAGGCAAGAGCTGAAAAGATGGGGTGAAAAGCAATACATGTAATAGGTTCGCGGTGAGATTGAAGGATGTGTCGGGCGGGGGAGCGGGGCAGCCAGCTAGAAGGGTTCTGGTTTCGTCGTGACAGCGAGGTTGGTATGGCATGTTCGAGCTCTGACTGTAGGAACGCAATTCGGGACTCGAGTTCCATGATCTGACCTGGTATAACCAACGCAGACAGAAACAACAGACCTTCTTCTGAAGCCTTACAACTCCAATCCATTTTTTCTCCAGCAGACCTTCGTATTTGCCCGAGAGAGCGGCATCGAAGTTGTCTCCGATCTGCAGCTCTCCTCTGAGGACAGAGGCACCATGCGGCAGGTTTATCGATGAAAAATATGCGAAGATGGCTTTGTGCCTGAGTGACCTTGGTAAGTGACCATACCTGGAATCATGTGGAGAGGCGAACGAACAGCTCCTCGGCTTGGCGAGTGGTCAGTATTTGGCTCATTGTGATGTCTCCAAGAAAGCAACGAGGGATGCACAAGAGTAGAAAAGATGGAAGCGGTGATTCGAGAAAGACATAACAAAGAAATGCAGGGTTTTCGATTGAAATGTTGTCGTTCTGATGAGGGTAGAAGGGGATGCACGGGTTCTTACAACCACGCAACGCAGTTCGAGCAGGTAATGGGTGGGAGGAATCGTTTTAGTAGGGTAGCCTTGTCGGTCGGGTTTTATTTCGCCCGCTCTCCAGGGGGTGAGAGACCGATATTGCATATTCGAGTCGTGCAGTAAGCCGATCGGAACAGCACCTATGCCCCGCAGCCTGACTCATCTGCATTGTTGTCCACACAAAACAGACCCGTTTGCGATCAAGCCAAGCTGTTGGTTCCGTATCACAGGGAAACTGGTTCGAACCGTAGTTCCGTGGGGTGACGAAGGGTCAATCCCCTGTATATTGATCTCTCCGTAAGATGGAGAAGAGAGGTGCTTACTGTAGGTTAGCCAGTCAGTTGGAAGCTGATATAGAGGTCCCTAGATGGCCCCTGCCCTTGCGCTGACTCGAGATCGAATTGGACTTCCAATCCGACACCAGCAGTTAATGATTGTTTGGTCAACAAACCTTCATTGGGTTGCACCGACTTGCTTCAACGAATATACAACAAGGTTGCAAAGG